AATTCATGTTTACTATTTACACCACAAAATAAAATAAGTTCAATAAAGAAAAAACAGTCAACTTATTGAGTAAAGTGTTGTGAAGGCTCTTTAACTGTCGTGTAAAAATTAACTGGATGTGGAATGTAGTTCCGAGAAGACTTTCCAAGAACAACTTGTCCCAAGTATGTCAGTTTCAACACAATTATATCAGGAAATGACTTTATTCGATAAAAGTTACAATATAACGAACATTGACAAATAATTTGAACTTTACAAAGCACTATCAATGGTTAAATATAGCGGTAAATAACAAAGAAGTGATTCAAATTCAATTCGTTTAAATCTTGAGGTCATTGTATTAACATGTTGCGAGACAGATGTCGAATATAAAACGAGTATTCGTCAGTACTCTAAAAGAAATTTGAATACAATAGAATATACTAAACTGCTTATAAAATAAAAAAAATATTGGCGTCTTAAACAGAGTAATAAGTCATCGAAACATATGTAGGTGTAATCTTAACAACGTTATCCCATCACCACTGTGAATATACTTTAGAGAAATCGATATTATCTCCTTATAAGTCTGTCTTCGTTTAAAACAATAAGAAAAATAGATAATATTAAAATCATAAATAATCTCAAAAATCATGTTTCGTTTCTTAAACCGAACTATCTTCAAGTAACATACCGATTATCAAGGCTTTAATATAATGGTGTGAAATATTCCACGTAGTCTTAAATAAATAATCATGTAGTACATTGTACCTTATCGCATGTCTCAACATACTAACAATTCATCTTGTACTTTTTATATATTTTTGCCGCCATTATCATGAGCATTACTTACTCGTTGCGGAATCTTTAAATACTCCTCTGCTGCATAGCGCCATACTTTAATCCTTTGGGTAAATCAGGAATTTTGTAGGTAGCGTTAATCGAGTGAAATTCCTTTGAAATGAAACTGGGTGATGATTAGGAAGCGATGTTGTGGGAATAAATTCCTAATTTGTAACTAGTGGTGCAATGATATAATAATAACTATTGTCCCGTCAAACACTTCCTCAAAAGAAATTCCCTTATAAGGGCACTAGAACACACAAAGGGAGGTAAAATCTTTTCTGAAAGTTAACGGTGTAATATGATCTCACTATTGAACGATTCAAAAGTAATTTTTGCTATATATATTTCAGGTCCAAACTATGACCCAAAACTAGCAAATCCTTATTCACACAGAAATTTGATATGAATATACATACACAGAATGGGCGTTTTTAAATAGCTGTAGGTACATGAGTATTCGGTTTATTGAAAAAAGAGATGTTCATGTCGAACTCAATCAACTAATTTCTAGATTAAAGTCAGCATTCGTATCTGATAAGTGCCGACCGTTTACAATCACACAGGTAGAATAAGACGGCTTATTATATAGAATTATGGATGAGAAAATATACTGATCCATAGGTACGGTCTCTTGCAACAAAAACTGTCTAAAGTATTGTTTTCTTTTGACACAATAACTTTATATGTCTTTTATTCATTTTTTTCTATAAGATTAATGTGATGGGAATAAAGTCATGATGGAAGGTTAAAAAAATAATTTAAGGTAGGGGATACAATTAAGGCGACTTGAGGTGCTGTGAAAAATAAATCGTTTATTGCAATTATACCACTTATGTTAAGCGTATTCAAGAAAAATATGTAAAGTCATGACAATGAAATAATTATGTCAAGATAAATAACGAAAAGTTTGAACAAACTTAACTTTGAAGTAAAACTTGTTTGCGATTGTAACACTTGATTTCCTTTATCCATTAAGGACGTGGTTAATTTACAAAAGGCTCAAATATTTATAAAAGCAAAATGGTAATAATTACATAAAGATACCAATGTGATTTTTCCGAGTCATATGTACTTTCTAAGAGTATTTAGACACCACTGACAGACGGTGAAAGGAAACATCGTGAGGAAACCTGGACTTATAATTTCAAATTATAAGTTTGGAATCACCAACCCGTCTTGAAAAACGAGGTCTTATGAAAAAAAGAGGCCTTTGCTCAGCAGTGGGCTCTGATAGGCTGATGATCTTTGAGGTAAAACTTGTTTGCGATTGTAGCACTTGACTTCCCTCATCTATTAAGGACGTGGTTAGTTTACCAAATACTCAAATATTTATAAACACAAAACGATCATAATTTAAGATAAGGTATTATGATTCGTGTCATGATATAATGTCTAAATAATTTTCATGATAATAAATAAATTTCAAATAACAATATGAACGTTATTTATATAAAATAGCGGTAAAGACTATCCGATAATAATCACACGGGTAAAAAAGGTTTTGTCGACTTATTAATTATTGTATGAAATTCTGTAGATATCTTATTAAACAAAGTACAAAATATATTCTAAATCTTAATAAATCCACAATTAAAGCGGTTGGTTTAAGCAAAAGATACAATTTATGTTTTGAACGCGTCTTTTTTGTATTATTTATAATGTTATCATTACATTAGTTTGCAATACAATTATATGTAATTAAAATTTTACGACAACTGTTCTGAGAGAAATAAGGAAACCTAGAGATTATGATATAATAATGAGATAAGGCTTTCGCGAGTATTAATTTAAATTAAACTAATTTTTTTCAGATTATACTACGCATATTTTACTATTGTATAAACGTCGGGATTACAATAACAATATAGGCGTAGTATAATCAAAAAATATTAGTTTCATTTAAAGGATATAATAAAGTTTGAGACATAAACAAACATCTATTGTGTCGCGGTTATGTTTGTAATAAAAATGAATAGCATCTTCATTATCATGTATAAATTACTTCGATTACATTTAATTGTCCTTCTTTTATCACATTCATTGATCACGATTTTGTATTACATGATAATGACAACATAAAGCAACGACTTAACTATTTGAAGAATCCATCTTGTTTCATATTTAATAGGTTTCATATATTCTCAACATAATCCCGGCACGTGAATTGAAAATCACGCTAAGATGTGGTGGAAACCGTTTTTTATTATTATTTTTTTACGATTCACGTGTGTCTTAAGTATATTTCTTATTGATTTATTGTTAATACCATATTTTTACGATGTCAGTACTGTTTTTTTCTATAAGTCGTATGTATTGAGATTGTTTATGAGTACAATTTGTTATAAGACTTATATTTTAAAGATCCTTGAGATGTTTTTATTTTTAAGAAAGATCTGGAAATAGTTTGCAAAAATCTAATTCGTTTAAGATTTCTGTCTTGTGACAGACAGGAAAGGACAGAATTCTAAAGGAAAAATATTATCCGTGACCCGGTAAAGTTACCGTTTGCGAAGTCAGTATCGCTCTTAACATGCAAGCATGCAAAGTTAGTGATTAAATAAAGGTAATAAATAGCACTATTTTTGTTACATTTATTACAAGAAGTCTGTATATATTTAAAAATTAATTGAAAGTTTAAACCGTAATTAATAGTTGAAATTTCTAGACTGTCCTAACCTGCAAGACTTTTTAAATTGACATGTCATTTTTTTTCTAGGGTACAATTGTTTTTATTATAAAAAAATCCTCATATTTTATCTGTGGTATATTTCAAGTATAATTAATCTATGGTACTTTTATTTCGTGATTGTTTCTTAATTTAATGAATTGCTGGTGGATCACGCTTGATGCGTCCGTGTGCACATTCTCATAGGAACTGACATAAACTTCATTTTGAATACAATTCTGTTATCTGTTGATGATGGTTTGATTTATAAACATTAACGGATATTTGATAATATTAAAGGTAAATAAGTCTTTGATGGAATATGCATAATGTTAAAGTTTCAACGTTCATATGACACGAAATTTTATACTATAAATTATTATAAAATCATTTCTCATAGATTACGGGACGTAATATTCTTTTATATAGTATTTGGGCGATAGATAAAGTGGTTTTTCAATCATCATACATCATATATTATCCTTATAAGTCCCTACAAAATGAAAAATATTGTCGCCAACTAAGAATTATATATTTGTCTATATCCTGAAAAATCCCGAAAGATTAGTTACAAAATATTACTTACCTGTAGTAGACAAGATCCTTCCTCTTTAACACCAAATTTACTATGTTTATAGTTTGAAAGCAAATCTATTGTGGAACTAAATTAAATATAGGGGAAAGAAATCAATCAAAAATTAAATTAAAGGCGTATTTTTCTTTGCAGTAATAAAGAAATGTTTTCCATAAACATAATGGGACCTTATTTTTAAAGACAACATAATATTTAATTGATTAAGCGAACCAGTAATATTAACATGTTTATATATACAAGTTCTATAATAAGAACAGTTTATATACGCTAGTCACTTTAATTGCACCCTAAAATAGATACAAACTAAAGAAATCATTAATTAAGAGTTACGCTTGTTAAGCATTTTGTTCCGCTGTGTAAATACGTACTAAGACTTAATTTAAATAAAATTTATTGGTTGTTAATATTCGGGAATGTTTAAAAACATGGAACCAAAGATCTAATAATAATTTTTACTAATACAAAATACGTCAATATATCTTTTGTTTGAAATATCTATGTTATGCTCTAATTATAAAGATAAAAAAAAATCAATTTTACCATATAGAAATTAGTTGTATCAACTTGTTTGATATCTGATTTTGTTGTCATGGTATTCCTATAGTATTACAAAGATCATGTACTGGACTGTTCATACATAAACATTTTTTTAATATTTTGTATATATTCAACCTTCTTGGAACCTAAAATTATCCTGGTTGGAACTAGGAAGTGTGCAAAAGTTTTTGTACAAAAAAATATATTTTTTCGTAAAACAAAGATTGATTACGAAAAACATCGAACGGCGGGTGATACGGCAAGATATTGGGCATTTTTTATCTCTATCACGTTAGATTTATAGGCGACGGTGGCCAGTTAGTTGGTATTGTTACAGCGAGGGTGTTTAACAACTGTTCCGTTCTGTGTTTGTGTAAAATGATATTGAACGATTTAAATGGAGATCAACACACGAAGGTATAGTTTACGTTTCGACATTTGACGAATGTAGCAATATATCGGTTTGCTTTTGTTTTCTGTCATTTTTAAAGTTTTACGTCACACAACTAAATAATTACATTAAATTTCATAAATTGTTTTTTTATTATTTTAATTGATAGGAATTCCTTTTTCTTTTTTAATGATTATTTTATTATTTCTCCTTGGTTTAGACATAAGTACTTCTCTTTATAGTGAAAAATAAAGACACCCAAATATCTTGTTCTAAATATCTATCGATCAGTCCCTCTCTAGGGACACAAATTACAATTTTTTATGTCAAACATTGTTGTTTTTCCACATTAAGATAAAGTATTCTTGTAATATTGGTTGCTTCATTGTTGCGTCATTTTAATATGTCGCGTAAGAAAAGTTTTAGATAAAAAGCTTTGGGAAGGTTTTAGGAAATAAGTTAAGATTTAATTTCATTATTAAGTTGAATACAGACTGATTAATGATAATTTAGTAATTAATGAAACAATTATAATCAATAAAATGAATTACATTGTATACAGGGTGACTGGTGAGTTACTATCGATATTTAAGGAGAATACTTGGTACATGATTCTTATTCGAATTATGTAAAAAAAATAAGTACTTAATTTTTGACCAAATTTCCGTATAAATAAATAAAGTGTAGACACGTTCCAAGTGTTCCAAGTGTGGACGCGTGCGGCGGCTAGCTGATACAACACCACGCCGCTTCACGCGTGTGTGTGTGTGTGTGTGTGTGTATACCTAATCTGTAGGGTGTTCACACGATGCGTAATTAATTACATAACTTTTGGTTAACTTTACTTAGAAGTTTATTAATATTTTTGTTTTATTAATTTTTATTTTGTCATATATGATCGTCAAATATCACGTCCTCAGTATCGATAGTAATTCACCAGTCACCCTGTATATTAAATATATTTCCATCAACATTCTTTACCTAATTGACGTAATCTTGGGAAATTCCTCTAATTATTTCCGCGCTTATCATCACGATATACATAATTTTTGATGATTTATTAATTTTAGGTTCAAACTATATGACTTTTGACTTAAAAATCTATCTGTTTTTCCCAGGATAAGAAAGGAGATGAGAAAATTAAGAGCAATGACAGCGATGCTCTGGAAAATATTCTGGTACACATAGGACAGTTCGGACGCTACCAGAAGCTGTTGTTCCTGGGGATGTTACCCGTGGGGGTGTTTTTCGCCTTCGTATATTTCGTCCAAATGTTCATAGCCGCTACCCCCCAACGGCACTGGTGTAAAGTTCCAGAACTAAATCATTTAGATCCAGAGCTGAGGTGAGTTTTTTCAAATTGTTTTATTTAGCTTGACCCATTTGTTTGCGTAATATAATGATTGAAACGTCACCAATTTTCAGTTGAACAATAGATTAGAATTTTTGTTATACACTTTTAGTTTTGATGACCGTACCGTATAATATATTGTTGCTATCGTTGTAAATCTATAATATTTGATGAGACAGTAAAAAATTAATCAATGTAGCGTGTAACAATGTCACAAATAACACCAGTCACTGATTGGAATGTCACAAATACTTGTTACATATTTATTGAGGTTTTGTTAGGCCTTATAGTTTAATATTCTAGTATTGTCTGATCAATGCCCTAGATTGATGAGAAGAAGTGAAACACTGATAACAACTACCTAACATTCAATGAATTGTTTTGTAATTTTTGGTACATCTACATAATTTCAATCGTTATCCGAAAAAATAAGTTTATTTAAAAGAAAAATAACAAAATCTTATTTATATTTTTAAATGTAAATAAACGAGAAGATAGTCCATGACTACGGATTGTTAACGCCATCAATGCGTACATGTATTTTATGTAAGAAGATGGGCATTTTAATTTCTTTAGACCTTCGATCGCGAGTTTCAAGGTCGCATTCAAACTACCCACCCTCCCCAGTTACACGGTTAAAAGCTAAAAGCGTTAGATAATTAAAAAAATAACCAGGTTATTTCTCATTCAAATACTTACCTAGTTATATCAGTGGCTTTAGTTGTATTTATAGAAATGTAATCTATTGTAAACTGGCCATAAATTCCGAAAAAAAACTTAAAAAATTGCTGACAATAAACTAAAATTGCTAAACTTTCGGCTCTATAGTCTATAGACTCAGTTATTTTTATGCTACAATACATAGTTTCCAAGATATCGGCCAGAAACGTCCTTTGTATTTGGCACCATTTTATATTATTACGATAAGTGGTCCTTGACATAAAAAAAATATCGGAAATATAGTACGAGGTTCATCTCCGTTTTTAATACGAATGTTTTAACTCTACTATTGTTTAGGATGAAGAAATAGATTGAGGTCTCCTGACCCTTCTTTGTAAGAACGATTATTTTGTTACAGTCATACTTATACCGAACCATGTGAAAAATATAGTTTAATGCGTTTAAATACATAAAAATTATACAATATTTCACGTGCAAAGAAGCAGACCTCACCTAGTAGAGAAAAGAAAAATTTTCAAAGACGTGATTGATGATTTTGATAAAACTTAATTGTTTTTGTGTTTTGGCAAAATAAAATTATATCTAGAATGATTGCTTAGAATTATAACTTATTTTGACTTATCAGATCAATAGCTTCCTGCTTCATAGGTGATATGTGATTAGAGGGTTTTACCATTGAATAAATTAATAATTTATCGTAGATATTAGAAGGACGATAAATATTAATTGAAAGTGATGAATTAAGGGCTTGAGTATTATAAAAAGACACGTCCTTCTCTTTTTAGTTATACAGTTGAAATAAATGTAACATAATATGTATAAGAGATCCTACATACACATTCACTTCTTTAAATCCAACAAAATAATATCCAGACTAAATATTAGTTATATGTATTTTTTTTACAAATTATTCATACTTATATTGTACACTAGAAGACCTGGCGAACTTCGTATAACGTATAATCAAGAAATATCTATTACGTTTTTTTATTTATATTTTTGGAGTTTAACTGTAAGCCATAAATCTCCGTGTTTTGAAGTGCGACAGAATGATTGTCATATTAGTTAGTTGTGAAATCTAATGTCAAAAAAAAACGTTTGTATGGGAAATAGAAAAGGGCTGTTTTTATGGTTTTCCCAGTAATTTATCAATTTTTATACCTTCCCTGAACCTCCACGAACATTTCAAGACTAAGATAAGATAAATCCGTTCAGCTGTTCTCGAATTTTAGCGAGACTGAGGAACAGCAATACATTTTATACATTATATAGATATAGATTAATTACATTGTATGATCTGACTAAAAAAGTCACAGTGATTTCTAATATACATACTGGCTGTAAAAAGACGTCTTAGAAACAAAAAGTCTCAATAAAACCAACAAATAAATCTGTTTTAAATTTTATTTTATTGTTGAACCAATACTTCAAAAGAAAGTAGATTTATTCATATGAAATATCAAATTAGGTGCTGATTTTTATAATTTCATAAATCTTATAGCACCAGTACAAGAATTAAAAATAAAATTGTTATTATCTAGAAATTAAAGGAGTAACAAAACGCTTATTTAAAATTCCAAGTGTATCAACAAAAGTACGTCACTTCATTATATGCTTATCGATTACAGTAATAATTGTAATCTCAGGATCTTTACCGGTCAAGGTCCTCTTTGGTCGCTATTAACAGTTTTTACTGTTCGTTTCTGAACCATTTCGTCTTTTTTTTTTTTTATCACACTTTAATTATATAAACATCTTGTTTATGTCCAATAACAATAACAACGGAAAAATTTAACCTTAATTGTCACTTGCCACATACAAATTAATATTAATTTGTGTTTTTTTTGTTTGTTACAATTTTATTAATTGACTTACAAAATTTTTGGATTGTCACTTTTCGTATGAAATTTCGTATTCGTTCCGAAACGTAGGGTTTGTCTTTGTTGGAGGTTCGATCTACTAATGTACCAATTTTAATAGAAGCGGTTCAAAGATTGTGAAGTTATATATAGAAGAATCTAAAGAGAACGTTCTACGTTTTTAATTTTTTTATTTAGGAACATTTCGTATTCTAAGTTAGGACAGGTATTTTGTCTTGTAGAAATGCGGAATAATAGTATATTCCAATTACATACATTATTATGTATATCAACTTTTAGCACATGTTAATAAGATATTACTTAAATTGATTTTTATATTTTTCATTCAAAAACAACTCACACTGAAGCAGGTAAAGTTTTTTGGCTGTGTGACAACTGTATTGTTATTAGGTATTTATTTTTACATTTTGTTACCGAGAAAGTTATTTTAATGAACTAGTAATAGTCTATGGTATTGGATTAAAAAGTTTTTTTGCTGCTGTTATTTTTAAATCTATGTATGGTATATATTACACCCACAATATTTCCTCCTCCTTATTTTTTTTGCGATGTATGGTTTCGTAGTAAAAACATTCAATACAATTAACTATGATTTTTAATATATTTTTCATACTATTGTCCACATTTTACAAGGAAATATAAAAGCACATAACTATAACTTAGTCAATTGCTATTAACAAATATTTCCGATATAAAATTTCAAAATGTTCTCCGTAAAGGAGGAAAAACATGAAGGATTCTTAAATGAAAATTCTTGTTAAAAATGTATATGTGATTTTTTCAATAGATCTGCTTCTAGAAATTCTGTTTTATTGAAGTCAATTCAATTTAAAATGTGTTAAACATATCAATAGAACTTTATATTATAAAAAAATAAATGTGTAGAGAAAATCTTAGATTATTTCTACAATAATTTTATTTATGTTTATGTGTTCTCAATGGGATTTTATTACTTAGAAATCATTATCGATCTTATACATCAATGAAACTGTTATTTTTCTGGACACACGAGCAGAGGAGATGTTCATCTCTTCTGCCCGTCTACCAGTTAGTCTTGTCATTTAGCGCGAGTTATTTAACTTATTTGATTTGTCCATTGTGATTTAACACATTATATTTTAAATGTCCGAGGTATGTTATCTAAACCATTGTTTGGCTTTGTTTGTCCAATGTATTGACCAGCCACACTCAAGTGTTTTTACACAAAGCATGGCTGTCTAAACTATCTGGGTAGGTTTCTTATAAACAGTATGTCACAGAGTTATGTCAGGTATACCAAGAGTGGCGTGGGGTAGCCCACGCACGGACGCACGGGGACGCGAGGTGGAGTCGTGGTCGGTGGCGTCAGATCTGTCCCTCCTAAATAGAGGGACAGTACACACCTGCGTGCGGCGAGAGGGGGGCTCCATAGTGGACCTCGCCTTCGCCACCCCTTCCTTGGCTGCCTGTGTCGTGGACTGGCGGGTGGAGCTGACGGAGACTCTATCGGACCACCGATATGTGCGATTCGATATCTCCGACCAGGGCTCCCAGGGTAGGAACCGTTCGAGGGGCCAGTCACCCTTCCCGCGGTGGGCGCTCACCCGCCTGGACCAGAGGGCCGCCAAAGAGGCGGCCTTCGTCCAGGACTGGCTCACGCCGCCCGTCAACGTCCAGGACGTGGACGCCGCGGCAGCCCAACTGAGGGTATCCTTGACCGAGGTATGCAATTCCAGCATGCCTCGGTCCCACCGTCCGCCTCCTCGCCGCGCTGTGTACTGGTGGTCGGAAGAGTTGGCAGCCCTTCGGGCTACCTGTGTGGCGGCCAGGCGAGAGTACACAAGGAGCCGTCGGCGGCGCTCCCGCGATCTCGCCATGGAGGATCGCCTCTACGCATCATACGTAGAGGCGAAAAACGCGTTTAAGGTGAGACTCGCCGCCGCCCGAGACCATGCGAGATCGCAAATGTTGGAGGGTCTCGACAACGATCCTTTTGGGAGACCGTTCCAAGCGGCACGGAACAAGCTGCGCCCGTACGGTCCCCCAGTTGCCGAGACCCTCGAGCCGACGCTGCTGGATGGGGTGGTACAGTCCCTGTTTCCCCGCAGGGACAGGTTCACCCCTCCGACAATGAACCCGCCGCGCGGTGTGGCCCCAACGGTGGAAGAGGTGCCCCCTGTTACGGAGGAGGAGTTGGAGGAGGCGATCGCCTGCCTCCGCAAGAAGAAGACGGCCCCAGAGCCGGACGGCATCCCTGCGAGGGTGGTGGCCATCGCCGTTTCCCAGATGGGCTCGAGGTTTCGGGACCTTTTCGGAGCGTGTCTGGCGTCCAAAAGGTTCCCGAAGGTATGGAAGGAGGGACAATTGTGCCTTCTACGAAAGGAGGGTCGGCCAGTGGACTCCCCCTCGGCTTACCGACCCATCGTATTACTCGATGAGGTCGGTAAAATGTTCGAGAGGATGCTGGCCACCCGCCTCAAGGACCATCTAGGCACAATTGGCCCAGACCTGTCTGACGCTCAGTTTGGATTTCGGCCTGAGCGTTCGACATTGGACGCCCTGTCCCGTCTGAGGGATCAGGTGAGCGAGGCGATGGAAGCGGGAGATGGAGTGTTGGCCGTGTCCTTTGACATAGCTAACGCTTTTAACTCCATCCCCCACTCCACCATCCTAGAGGCACTTCGCTATCATGGAGTGCCTTCATACTTGCGGGCCCTCCTAGCAAACTATTTGGAGGACCGTTCGGTCCTCGTCGCAAATAGGGCGGGCCGACTGCGGCGGTACAGCGTCGAGTCCGGCGTCCCACAGGGTTCTGTTCTAGGACCGCTCCTGTGGAACATCGGATTCGACTGGCTCCTGCGAGGAAACCTCCCCCGAGGCACGTCTGTCATCTGCTATGCAGATGACACCCTCCTGACTGCTCGGGGGAGAAAATTCGAGTCGGCGGCCAGCCTGGCCTCGGCGGGAGGATCCTTGGTAGCTGACAGGATCTCCCGCCTGGGGCTAACGGTGGCGTTATCTAAGACAGAGGCCGTCTTCTTCCATAGGTCTCGGCAACGCCAACCGCCCGACGCTCACCTATCTGTGGGGGGCGTCCGCATCGGGGTACAGGCCCAGATGAAATATTTGGGCCTGATACTCGACAGTAGGTGGCGCTTCGGCCCTCATTTTAGCGGGCTGTCGACGCGCCTGTTGAAGACCGCGGGGGCCCTATCCTGGCTCCTCCCAAATCTTGGGAGACCCGGGAATCGATGCCGGCGATTATATGCCGGCATACTTAGAAGCATGGCCCTTTACGGGGCCCCAATCTGGGCGGACTCCCTCCATAGGAGGGAAAACGCAGCCGCTTTCCGGAGGCCCCAAAGGGCTATTGCGCAGAGGGTGGCGAGGGCTTACCGCACGGTAAGCCTCGCGGCAGCGTGCGTTCTGGCGGGCACCCCTCCTTGGGAGCTCGAGGCGTGGGTGCTCGCCAGAGTCTACGAGTGGAGAGTGGAGCAGCGGGCGCTTGGCCAGCGCCCCAGCGTCGCTGAGAGGGGAGCCGTTCGTGAGGAGGCGAGGGACGCGGTCGTCCAACACTGGACAGAGGACCTCGCCACCTCAACGTTCGGTCGAAGGACGCTGGACGCGATTGGGCCCGTCCTCAAAGACTGGCTCAGTCGGTCACATGGCTCCCTCTCGTTTCGTCTGGTGCAGGTGCTGTCCGGGCACGGCTGCTTCGGATCGTACCTGCACCGGATCGGGAGAGAGGAGTCCCCGTCGTGCCACCAGTGTGGAGATGCGGAGGACACGGCAGAGCACACCATGGAGGTGTGCCCATCGTGGGCCGTGCCCCGCCGTGCACTGGTGGCAGTGATTGGCAGCGACCTCTCGCTCCCTTGTGTGGTCACCGCCATGCTGGGGAGTGAGGAGGCGTGGACTGCAGTTGCCTCCTTCTGCGAAGACGTAATGTCACAGAAGGAGGCGGCGGAGCGAGAGCGCGAGAGAGCTCCAGAGCTTCGCAGAAGAAGGAGGGGCGGAAGGCGGCGCACACAGCGTCCACTTTCATCCGCCCCTGCGACGGCCAGAGTTGGCCGTGCGCTCCGGCCACAACAGAGCCCTCCCCCACAAGGGGGGGCGTGAGGGGTCTGCCACAAGGCGGGCAATCGCAGGCGGGGGGCTGGATGCAACCGGATTCCCAGCCCCCTGTCAGTCAGGCGAGGTCGGAGCGCCACTGGGTTGTTTTAGTGGGTATACCGGGAATCCTTTTCCCGGGGAGTCCCACATACCCCTCCCCGTCTCCCGACGGAGAGGGGATGCGTAAAGCATTTTTATCCCAGTGCGCACAAAAAAAAAAAAAAAAAAAAAGGTATACCAAGAAACGCTTAAGAATTATTTCTCTCTATAATTATGTAGTGAACTGAATCTTACTATTAATAGAATTAAAGTGAATAAGAAAAGTAGATGGTTAATTTTTTATATGATATACATTACTTATAACCAAGTTGACATCGTCACACTACATACGACGCGTTAAGAGTTTTTCATTCATAGATCTTATCACATTATAGTATTAAAGTAGATTATTGATTAACAAATAAGAAACCTTCCTTTGTAGTATAACGGTACAAAACCATTAGTAAGCATATTGATCTGTTATCACATTGTCTTCAAATAAGGTTAAAGTTAGCGGCTGAGAAGTTAGCAAAGAAGAAAATATAAAAAATAAGACTTATGTATTGGCGTCGCTGTGAACTAAAGTTATCTAAACTTCTGTTTTAAACTGGTTTTGTTAATTACATCTAAGCGTTCGTCATTAATCGAAAATAATCGCCTCTGTTTAATTAAAAGTAAAGATATAATATATACTAAAATGCTGTTGATCACATCGCTAATTGATGGTTTAACGAATACTGTTCGGGATACTAATAGCATACTCCATAAAATTACTGTTAAACCTGTTCAATTTATCTGAGTATGAACCAGTCGGCCGTGGTCAAAGAACATAATCCTTTTCAAGTCACAACAGGTCGTTGCAACTAATAACTCATAAGAAATGTTCCTTGCGCTTTTTAATATGTATTGGAAAAACGTATAAAATATATGGTTTACACCCTACTAATTAAGAATAAAACGAAATTTAGTCAATCCCGGTTTCGGTGTGTACTTTTTAATAATTTAGATCTTATAGGTATCTAAAATAGTTTGTGCATATGTTTTGGGCATATAATATAAACGTAGGAGGAACCAAGTTAATATATGGACAAATATTCATTGGATTTTTATAATTAAAATATAGTTTCACGGTATCTACCGGAACTAACAAAATTCTTAAAGTGGTCCATGCGAAAAGTGTGGGAATCTATGGTTTGATTATATTTTCAAGGTTAGAGTACCGCAAGGTCAATGTTCCGCTAGGATCCTTTGAAGCCGCACTTCTTCGTCTTATACAGTTGTTTAGTTTGTTGAGAAAACTTTAAATAAATGACTGCGAATGACATGACGTCACGTGACGCTGCCGCTTCCTAATCGTCGGTCAGACAGTCGATATTTACAAATTATGTTCTCTTTCCATTTACTTATTGAGCTCTTAAGTTTATTTTTTCTATTTAACGTCAGGATTTACTTGATTTCACATACTCTAAAGTACTAGCTAGGATTAAACGTTTTTTCATTTAATGTCGTGTTAACATATCCAAATTTTACTTTTATTTTTTACGCACTGCGCATATTTTTCTTTCAATGAAAATGTAAATAGTCTTTTGTATATTTACTTCAACACAATTATCATCAGTCACAAATATATCAGTAATGTATATACAATTTTCTATTTTCTTCTTTGAAATTGTAGAATTTGTGTATACTGTATAGACACTACTACTTTGTTTGGTTCTGTGGGTCAAGTTCGTGTATTATAAAATATAAACAAAACCTATCCTATCCTTGAAACCCAGTTTACGAAACCAAGCCGTCTTGATTTTAAACAACTCCTATTTATTTTATATCCATTTAAAAACACATTTGATATAAACATCGTGTTCTATAAAATTAAATGTATTTTATATAGATTTAATTCTTGTTTTTTTCTCGCATCTTTTCAATTTGTTAACAATATTGAAGGAGTAGTAAATATCCAGAATCCATCATCTTAGGTGTACCGCCATATTGGATCTAGAATGACGTCACACAACCACTACCTTTAGTGTACAAAACAAACTTTATACATACATACATACAATCTTTGATAATTATAAGCCTATAACATTGTTAATTTCAGACGGAATTTAACAGCTCCTCCACCAAGTATTGATGGTGAGGAATGGAACCGCTGCTTCATGTATGATGCCAACTGGACCGAAGTTTTAATGAACAACAGAACCGATCCCGGGACACCCATCACCGCTTGCAAGAACGGCTGGGAGTTCGAGCTAAAAGATATACCTTACCACACTGTAGTTAGCGAGGTAAGGGAAATATTAAAACATGTATTTCTTACTTGGTATTGAACCTACATTTGTAGCGATCATTTACCTTGAGTTTATCAATATTTATTTATCTTGAGTGATCTTTAGTATCCAATGTCTACAGATTACTATATTTTAAGATAAACTATTATCACTATTTTCGAGACAGAACATATGATGTTTGTAAAAAAGGTATACAAGATTAGGAAAGACGTACAAAGTTAGGGATATATTTTTCTCCATAAATATTTAGAATTTAGATATACTCTATATATCTTAAAGGTCATATATGTCACCAAAATAAATAATATTTAAATAAGTATGTTATATATGAGTAAGTATATAATAAACTAACATATAACAAATATATTGAAGGACTTATCAATCAATCGATGCAGATGTGTCAATATAATTATGTTAATATTATCAACGACTGAGTGATAGGTTTTTGAATTTAATAAAGATTATTTGACTTTTCTTACAACATGCCTAAAGGTATACGAAATATTAATACTGAGAGACAAACTTCAATTACCGTTAGACTCATTCATTGTCAAACAGTAAACTAACAGAGATGTGTCATTTATACATAAACACATATAGGTACCTATGTACTTTTTTAATAACAAAATACTTGTAGCATTGTAACATGTATGCGGCTGTTTTGTTTTCTGAGTCGTTATAGAGGGTACTGCACATTTTTTTATGAGAAATAATTAGAAATTAGGGGTTTAGAAAACAGCGTTTTGGTTTCTTTGTAGCAATATAAATCACGGGCAGATCGTCGGGAGTATATTGTTAAAAAAAATTATAAACGCGTAAAAAATGTGAAAAATATTAGTTTTATTTCAATGTTTATTACTTTGTATGCAGTTGCATGTAGGTTTTTAATTCAAAACACCGTACTTGTTGCAGCGCGGCTGGGTGTGTGATAACTCCGGCTACACTCCCTTCACACAGACTGTTTTCTTCATCGGCTCCTTCTTTGGAGGTTTATTCTTTGGATGGGTGTCCGACTACTTTGGAAGGGTGCCAGCTTTGTTTGGTAAGATTTACATTAAGTGCTGTTTATTCCTTGTATTTCAACAAAAAATAACTTCATATTTGACGAAATATTTTAAAAATCCTATTGTGTTCTCGTACTTATGTAGTTTTCAAGAAAAAAATTTCTGAGAGGTCAATTGCTGACAAATGTAACTTCTAAACTAAAGAGTTAAGATAAATATTAAGAAAAATCTCATATAAAAAACTTAAATAATTAAATTTAATTTTAAAAAAATATCTAGGTTCCAACTTAATGGCGTTGGTCGGTGGTATAGCAACAATATACACTACGGAGATATGGGACTTCGCGTTCTGTCGATTCATCGTCGGAACTGCCTACGACACTTGCTTCATGGCCATGTATATTTTAGGTGATTCTCACAAATTTATTTATTAATTTTACAAAAAGCTTCAACTTTGTAAATAGCTGGTTTGTTGCAAATTTGGTTACAAACGTCCAAATAATTGTGTTTCACAGTGATGGAGTACACTGGTCCTAAATACAGGACATGGGCAGCGAATATGTCGATCGCTCTGTTTTTCGGTGGGGGCTGCCTCATCCTCCCCTGGGTGGCACTTTGGGTATCAGACTGGAGAACACTTCTTTGGGTCACTTCACTGCCCATGTTGCTGGTCGTAGTTGTGCCTTTCACTGTACCTGAGAGCGCTAGGTGATGTGAAAAAAATATGCTTACTTAGTCTAACATTTACTCTATCTACTTTATGTAATACTCGTAAAATTTTTTTTTATGATTATTTAATTTCAAACTGCAGATGGCTCTCATCTCGGGGGCGCGTTAATGACGCTGTGAAAGTTCTGAGAAGATTCGAAACAGTCAATGGAAGGAAAATACCTGATGACGTCATGGACGAGTTTATTGTAAGTTTACTATTAACATTTATATTATTTACAATAAACTGTTCTAATAAAAACTGAATAATAAATTGACTACCTTAGAAACTGACCTCGAATGTTCATTAATGCAATTAAATAATTAATTAAACGATACGTCTATAATTGAGTTAATTTATATATTATAAAGTAGAAGTGTCTTTTGTTTTAATTTCCTTTTTATTATCGTCAGTAAATATTAATTATCTATACTAATCGTTATTATCGTCGCGTCAAGTTGACACAGTTTCAATACAAACATTACGTGAATCATTTATGTTTTGTATCCAACAAAAGACTGGAAACAAAACATTAACGGTTATTCAACTTGGATACAATGAATGTATTGCAATAATCAAATATTTCAAAACAAATCTCATCATGAAATAGATTAACTATTTTCATACACACCAAGTCCATCAAAATTTACCATGCTTAAAACAAGGTGGTCTATTTTGGTATTATTTTTCTCTATAGGTATCAGCCAGTCAGACTCGTCGTACAAAAGAGTCTATAATGGATGTATTCAAGAGTTCAGCTTTACGTGGTCTCCTCGCTCGTATGGTAATTGTATACATGACATGTGCCTTGGTCTTCGACGGGCTGGTCCGTATGTCGGAAGGCCTCGGCTTGGACTTTTTCGTGACCTTCACTTTGACCTCTGCCACCGAGATACCTTCAGTCATGCTGTTAGCCTTAGTACTGGACAGGTATCTATGAACTTACTTTTATTTTCATGTTTGTATGGACAAAGTAGTTGACAGTATAAGTGAGTTACTATCACGCATGTGCTACCTGTAAGGAAAAAGGAAAAGGAATAACCTAAAAAGAAGATAGAACACAATTCTTGTATATTAAAGGATTAATACTCGTATCTGCAATAACTACTCAACGTCTATCTTCTTTGAGAGGGTAGTCTGTAGTCCTATCTTAAGTAGCTGTATGTCAAGTAGTTGTAGTCCAGTTATGAAAACTATGTCGTAATTTATATACTTTAATAGTTAATATTATTCAATTGATTTACTAGAATTAATAGATTCACAAAGAAACAAATCGGCATTTTATAAAATTCTCAAAATTTCAAGATGAAGATATCGCAACAGATACTTCCAAATTTTCTTACGTATTATAAACAGCTAGCCCTGTTCTTGACACAGCTGCACAGATATTTTGTACATTAGTATATTTATCGTTGGATTTCTTCCAGGAGTGTTAATTTCGTGAATGTATCAAGATTACAGTAATTATGTTATTAATAGGTTCGGTCGTCGTGTTCTGACCGCCGTCCCGCTCTTGGTATCTGGAACGCTGATACTCATTGCTACTGTTGTACCTAGAGGTAGGTGTTGTTACATCATGACAATGTTAAAAAGAAAACTAATATGATAATAATAATGTCCAAAAACAAGGAATAATGGCAATCAGAATCTAATAATATTGCAACATGGGTTTATAAAATTTTTTGCTAATTGCTTGGACATGTGAGGGGTTCTGTTACCCATACAGAAAAGATATTCCAAAAAACGACTGTTGAGTAATGTGATCTAAGATGATTACGCTTGCTGAAAAGTAGCCGAAACGTCGGGAGTTTGTAATTTTTTACAAAAATAAAGTCGCATAATATATCCCAAAAAGATTAGTTTCATTTAATCGACTATTGAATGTAATTTTAATAATGGCGGACTTCATTTATCAATACATATATTATACTAGAAGACCCGGCGAACTTCGTTTCGCCCTATAATCAAGAAATATCTGTTACGTTTTTTTATTTATATTTTTGGAGTTTACCTATTAAAGCCATAAATCTCCGTGTTTTGAAGTGATTAGGAATGATTAATAGTTAATATGAGAGTTACACTGAGCTAGCAAAATAATAATTGTCAACGTTACTACTACACTTGATGCACAAACAATAACGATGGCCGACAACTGTGTAGGGAGTGAGAGAAGTCTAATTGTGTGAGAGAAACAGAAGACCGGCTTCGTTCTCATCCCTACTCCGTGCTGTTTACTGGGTCAGAAGTGACACCTGTAGATATCTGGCGGGGATAACTTATTAAATGACGATTGATCAGTTATCGACCGGAGATGAAAAATGATTAAATTACTAAAATAGCTATTAAAAAATAAGGGTTGATCGTAGAAGGGTGAAAATTTAGGATTGTATGTATTTTTGTACGTTGTATCATAAAAAAATAGTAATTAAAAATTTTGTCTAAAAAATAAAAAAAAAATTTAGGGGTGGACTACCCCTAACATTTAGGGGGATGAAAAATAGATGTTGGCCGATTCTCATAGCTACCGAATAAGCACAAAAAATTTCATCAAAATCGGTCAGGTTGTTTCGGAGGAGTATGGGCACGAAAACTGTGACACGAGAATTTTATATATTAGATATAGCAACTCGGGCCCCACGATACAGGTCTCCTAGTGTGGGGTCCAAAGATAATCAAAATTTTAAAATTGCTTAAACCATAACGCACCTCAACCAATGGAAAACATTGTGATAGTTTAAGTTAAGTCAAGATCATTGTGTCATATGTCAATCTATTATGTAAGCATTGTGTTTTTTCAATAAAGTTTATTATTATTAATCTGTTAACTACCCTCGTAGGTATACCTCAAGTGTCCCTGGCTATCATGGCCCGGTTCATGATCAACATGGCGTACAACGCGGCCATCCAGTGGTCGGCGGAGCTGATGCCGACCCCCGTGCGAGGGTCCGCCTCCTCCTTCATACACGTCATGGGATACGTCTCCACGCTCGTCTCACCATTCGTCGTGTACTCGGTGAGATATTAACGAGATATTTTGATGAAATAACATTAATATAACTTTTGTTTGGTTTTTTGTTCAAGTGGTGGTGTTGTATATGTATTATTATTTTTGATAATTTATTCAGTTTTGTTGTTTGTTACTCTGTATTACTTATGGTTCTGTCGATCTGTAAGCAACAAAAACATCACAGATCAGAAATAAAAAATTTACCTTTGAATGAATTATTATCAGTTTAATAGTTTTTGGGTTCCTCAGAAAACTTTTTTCTTTTTAAATGAAGTTTTAGGTAAATAATGAGTTATTATTGGAACGACAGCACGTATTGGTATATAGACTCTAGAAGTTTTGTTGTTTAGCTATTTGGATACAAGGGAATCCCTAAATAAATATATAAAAAGTAAAAGATATAACAATAACAATAGGAGCGAGCGTGGAAGTTACTGCCGCTTATCATTCTGGGAGCATTGTCTCTGGTGGCGAGTGGAGTTTCTTTGATGGTGCCGGAGACTAACGGCCGGCCGATGCCACAAACAATAGAAGAAGGAGAACAAGTTGTACGAAGCTACACACTTTGCGGGTAAATATATACATATAAATCGATTCTGAAATAAATATCTCACATACAAGCAATATAATTAACTCTTAATACTTGAATGTTGCGAAAATATGTCGTCTTTTAGACTCGTTGATTTATTTTAATAAAATTTTACAGAAAAGTCGAAGATTCAGAAGTAACTTCAGAACAAAACGAGAAAGAGAAGGCTCTCATCACTTAGAAACACGTAAATAGTTTAGCATTAATTAGTAGGTATAAGTTTTATCTGTACTATAAAACATGAAACAATTCGAACTTTTAGTTTATTTTAAGTATCAAATATTAGATGACAATTATTATCTACACAGATATGTTTTGTGGAAATGCATTTTATATATAATATTAATTTCCGTACAAGTGGTCGCATAATTCGAATTATTTCTAAAACATAATTAAGACGGGTACAAATTATGATAATTGCCTGATTGAGTCTATGAACTGAGTGCTTCAGACGTAGTATTCTACTACCCCATACAAAAGCTTGTTATTTATTATATTTCTTTGTATTAAATAGATCTTATGTTTGTAATGTTTAGATTGTTAGTAAATATTTGTATTGAGTAAGATCGGCCAGATGAATGATTCCTTAGCACTATAGACACCTCTCGATGTATGCTCGTCTCGTATGAAATAACTTTTAATATAATTGTGTATGATGGATACTCTGTGATAAAAAGTCAATTTTGTTAAAAGTTAAACTTGAATAATTGTAATTTATTTTATTACTATACCGTAAGATACATTTTTTAGATATTGAAGCATTTTGTGTTATAATAGTAAATATTATTTTAACATCAAAACTTTTCTTTATTTTATTCCCAACCCCAAAAAAGTAATAATTACAGAAATTATATAACAATAAATGTAGGAGAAAAAGAGAAAAAAACACATCTGTCAGTTCCGTCTCTTAAACACCTTAATATTTAAAAAAAGAAGTTACATTCCAATTTCAAACTTTTAAAGAGAACTGAAATATCTAAAATATGTTTTTATATAAAACAGTTGGAAGGATATATTTGAGGAGAACAATTGCATGGATCTGGGCCCATGACCTGATAAAATTAATATTTAAAAGAATAACAGCAGACATTTTAGAAAACGTGATTTTTTCATAGATTACACCCTAGACTTTTCTATTTACAGAGTACAGTAGTTATGTGTAATTACATAACACATTGAATAGTGTTGTGCCAATCAGTAAACAAGGGTTAAGTAATAAAACGGCATGTATGTCAACAATCTTTTATACGTCATAATCAGTGTCATGTCTGCTTGATGCTGAGGTACATCTTTCCGTTGATGTTCTGTTTGACGGGGTTGATCCTCTTGAGTATCTGCGTCATAGTCTCCACGAGTCTGTCTGAAGATACTCCACTCCTCTTAGACTTGAACTTGGTCAGCAGCTCGGTGGTGGTCATTGGTTTACGGGTCAGGTAACGCCTCACTGCCTCCTCGGTGACGCCGCACTCACTGTAACGTTATTAATAATATAACATGAATAAAATCTAACTAATATTTTCGAATTATTAGTTTTTAATCCCTAAGGACCATGCCGCCAAAGTCAATAAATATTACGAGCTGTCTAACGAACTCACAAGAAATATTTTCGTCATGAATTTGCACGCGCTAGAAGTGGGAGCGAGAGGTGTAACGTTAAGTCTAAGCGATTTCGTCTCTTTTCAACAATATACTCCCGGCGTTTCAATTACTTTGCAGCAACAGACAAGATGAGAATGTCGTTTGTAAGTCTTAAAATTCCATGTAATATTTCATTCTTAAGGATGTTTTCACTTTACTTTGTTTACTCGCCCTATTTTTATGTTACCTAAAAATCATAATAAAGATGTCTGTTTCTGGACAACACATAACTTTCATAACATTAACAATTTTATTTACGTAACACCTTCTTAAATCATTCGTATCATAGTTGTGAACTAACCTAACCAAGAGCTGACATCAAAGAAAAGAAAACATAAGCATTTAAGCACAAGATACATTCTTTTTCTCATGACTTCCAGGTATTGTAGTTGTATAGTTATTATCAGTAACATATATGTACATATTTCTATACTATACAGAAGCACTAGAAAGTATTAGAACTATAATGCTTATTAATTAATTATTTTCATACCTTCTGGATGTTCCATTGTTTTTTGTATATAATAGGATATTTCTCTACTCACGTGTACGAGGGGTCAAGTTTCGCTCTCTTGGCGGGCTGGTTGTTAGCGGCGTTGGCTGCGGCCACCGCGGACGTCGCGTTAGACGGCGTGGGGGTACACGAACGAGACGTATTAGCGCTACCACCTGACGATTAAATGTGACATTCCATTAAAGAGTAATTGTATGTGAAATGACACTAAAGAGTAAATATAAGTGACATGACATTAGAGAGTAATTATATGTGACATGACACTAAAGAGTAAATGTATGTGACATTCATCTAGAGAAGAATTATTGGTGACATTCTATTAAGAATTATTGGTGACATTCTATTAATGCCTTCAAAAACACAATTTTCAAACCAAAATAACCATCGATTTGTATAAATAAAAAACTATCGTAATCAAATTCTTTAAGACTCTTTCAATATATGATGTTATAATATATATGATACCAGCGTTATTGTTCTTCGAGTCGTTGTTCTTTCCTTTCTTCTGTTTCTTGCTGCTGTTCTCGGGGTCGGTGTCGGAGTCCGAGCTGAAGTCGCTGCTGGTGTCTGGAACAACACAAACACATTAACAAACACTATTTGATGAAGAATACACTTATATGTAACAGATTTAGATGAAATATGAAATCTCGTATTTGACGAGGGTATGTCCCGTCTATTTTCGAATTATCTTCTACTTCTATTTTCGAGTTATCTACTTTAGAAATAATTTCTAACATCTGTTGTGAATGTCTGAAAAGTGTTTTCATTCCTTGTTGTTGTTCATAGATCAGTTTGGTTCACTTATGCTATATTAGCTGAGAGCGCGATTTTGTATGCAATAGTAATGACTGTTTATACTAATTCAGTTATCTGCCAGTCAGAAACGGTAAGATTTATGGGAACAGGTAAATAGACAAATAAATAGATACCATAGATAAATATACCAGAAGTTGTAATACACTCCTACTTTTATCTGTCTATATACAGGGTGACTGGTGAATTACTATCGATATTTGAGGACGTGATATTTGACGATCATATATGACAAAATAAAAATTAATATAACATAAATATTAATAAACTTCTAAGTAAAGTTAACCAAAAGTTATGTAATTAATTACGCATCGTGTGAACACCCTACAGATTAGGTATACACTGACACTCACACATACGCATGTCGTGACGTGTTGTTGTATCAGCACGCGTCCACACTTGAACACTTGGAACGTGTCAACACTTTACTTATTTATACGGAAATTTTGTCAAAAATTAAGTGCCTATTTTTTTACATAATTTGAATGAGAATCATGTACCGAATATGCTCCTTAAATATTGATAGTAATTCACCAGTCACCCTGTAGACAATATAGACAAATAAAAGTAGGAGTCAGTGGTGGCCTAGTGGTTAGAGAGCCCGCCTCTTGTTGCCGAGGGTGCGGGTTCGATCCTGGCCCTGGCAAGTACCAATGTGATTTATCCGAGTCATATGTACTTTCTAAGAGCATTTAGATATCACTGATTAATGCATTCCCAAAGAGGGTTGATGTCAGGCAGGCGGCCGGTCGTAAAAGCAATTAGCCAAAACTACTTATAACATATGAAGCAGACGATATGCAGTGGAAGAAGATATGCAATAGATGAAAGTTATAAAATTAATCAGTGCACGTCCTTTGTTTTTCTATCAGTCACTACATCTATCTCTGTCTGTCTCCATACCTTTCTTAGCGTCATCCTTCTTCTTCTTCTTGGTCAGTTTACTCGCCCTCTCCTCCCCCTCCTTGGTGGGCTCGTCTTCTCCCTCCGACTCTTGTTTCTGTTCCTGCTCCGAGTCCGTACCCTCGTCTGATGTCAGCAGTTTCCTGGAAATATATATACATTATCATATAATACATATATATAAGTTTTTAAATACTATCTTCCTACTAATACTAAATGCAAAATTATATCAGTATGGACGAATGTACGATTATGATGAAACCTTTAAGTGATGTAAGTTAAACATCAAGGTCGCATATCGACTAAAATATATCCGGGTTTCTCGCGGGAGAACAGAATAACACTTGTATATGTATGACGTCAAATAACATAGGCTATAGACGTCTCCGCCAGCCAATTACCACACTTTTTGCTATAAGAAATTGTGTATATTTTTCCTTGAGCCTAATAAAACTAGTAATATCTCTGTATAAAGTTAACCTCAAAGCGTCTTCCTCCGCGACTCCCTTCAGCTCCTTGTTGGCTTTCGTCTCGTGATCAGACTCACTGTAAACAAAAACAACATTAACTACACACATGTAATCACATAATTGATATAAACCACCTGCCTCTACACTATAACAGAGATAAGAGTGTAGTTGTGTTACTTCCACACTGACAATAAGGAATACAATCGATTATACTGAATATTAAAATATTTTCAGCATCTTATTACATAGTTATAGTATTTATGTAAAGAAATATAATTTTCTTCACGTGCCATAGACAAACACCAAATAATGTTATCTGTGGTTCATATTAAAATGTATAACATACTCGTATATGAAACGGTTGCCAAGAACTTGTAAAATAGATCATATTATTTATAATTTTTATATTAGCATTGATATTGTAAATCAATAGCTTTAAATGTTGTTTCTTTTCTTACAGGTTAGTGTTGTAAACTTTTTATTCTGAACTTAATATAAATTGTCACCCTAGCAGAAAATCTTACAACACCTTTTGTTACAGAGGAACTCATTAATCCATAAATTGATTGTGTCATCCAAATCACAATACTATATCCCTACTAATATTATAAATGTGAAAGTAACTCTGGCTGCCTGTCTTTCACACCTAAATCACTGAACTGGTTTCAATGAAATTTGGTACAGAGATAGACTTGACCTTGAGAAAGAACATAGGATAGTTTTTATCCCAGACTTTTGAAAGGTTCTCTTGGAAACGTGATATAACCGAACTCCACGCGGGCGAAGCTGCAGGCAGAAAGCTAGTCTTATATATATATACATACATACATACATATATATATATATATATATATATATATATATATATATATATATATGTGTGTGTGTGTGTGTGTGTGTGTGTGTGTGTGTGTGTGTGTGTGTTTGTGTATATATATATATACCTCTCCGACGAGTCTGATATATAATCCCTCTCCCTGCCCTCCTCGTCTCCATCATCACTCTCTTCAAACGCCTCATCATTAACCTTTTTCTTTTTCTTAGGCACCGCTGAAAATATAAAGAAAAGATAAGATAAGATAAAAAGATGTATATCTTTTCCGTTCATTCCTATAATATTAAGCTTTAGTCTCATACATTAGTAGCATGTAGCTATAGCAATTCACATTTTTCATGGTTTTATTATATGTCTACCTAAAATTAATTATTAATTATTTACAATATAATTCTAAGGAAAATTTTTCTATGGTCATATAATGCAGGACATAACATTTTATAGTATACAATTTAGTACCTTCTTCCATTGCTTTAGAGTCTAAAGTTGTTTGTATATATTAATATATTAAAGTACCTTTCTTCTTATTTTTCTTCTTAGTGCCGGAGTCGCTATCTTCCTTCTCCTTGTCTTTATCTGCTTCAGAATCTGAAGACTCGTCGTCTGAGTCTATCCATTCGTCCATTTCAGAGATCTTTAGATCTTTAAGAGAAATAACATTTTATGATAAATCAGTATAAAAATAAATGACATACAGAAAGTATAAAATCAATTTTAATTATATATCTTGTCTATCTTATAGATATATATCTTGTCTTCCCTCGATAAAAGTTATTCTAATTTACATGTTTAGCATATATGGATATTTGTAACTCTTTAAAGCAAAAAACTACTGAACAGATTTTGAATGAAACTCTCCAGGGCTGTAGCTTAAACATCAGACACATACATTATATTTTATAAGAAAACTGTGTATTTATTTAAGGAAAACTCCATAGAAGAAATGTATTGTATAGGAAGTCACATATCGATCATAGATGGCGTTGTCAGTTGGTTGTCATGTCTAGTCAATTAAAGCCTAAATTAATAATTAATCTGTCATTGAAATAAATTCCGAAGTCCACCAAACAGAGTCCAGTGCATAAACTAGTATATTAATAAAACGTAGAATATGAATAAGTTTCAATATAAAGGCCCATATACATATACACACTCATACAGTATATACACACCCTTCTTAGCCTTCGCCCCCTTGGTTTTCTTTTCATCGGGATCATCTTCGTCAGCCGCATCGTCACCTCTCATACGTTTCCGGAACATCAGTGAGAAGTAGTTGATCACCTTGTTACGTCTACACACACACAGAGTGGCATTACACACTCACACACACACACGTATATGTATGTATAATTATTTGTAATAATAATATAAGCTTATAATATACGTTATGCATGTACACGACACTTATACCATTTTTTATTTAATATTTCTTTGTTTGTTCTACTTAGACTCTGAAACAGATGGATTTATACCCGAGCTTCAATTGAAACATAGTTTTTTAGTTTTTGTAGTAAGGAACTGTTATTTACCAATTTTAATATAAATAATAAGAAAATATCGACTGCGAGACAGATCCGCGGCCTCAATAAATATATAGAGGAGTCTGTTAGTTTAAAATTAATGACCAACCTTCCAAATTCCTGTTCCGCTTCTTCAGCGGAAAGTGCCTTGTAGCGCTGGATCGGTTGGAAATTGTACCTTAAATAATATAAAAGTTATTTAAGGTAAACTTCTGAAAAATTAATACAGAAAATAAATAGATATTAAAATAAGTATACATTTATATCTTATCATATGTATAAAATTACACGCTTTTACTAACGCCATCTAGTTATAATACTTTTCAACAATCTGACATTGATTTTAAATTTCTAAAACTAGGACAACTTTATTCATATGATATGAATTTCGTACATCTGAAACTAGTTGAGTTATAATCGTGTTATAACTGAATAATAAATTTCTGAACGAATTATATTTAAACCATAGCATGTCAAGTTTACTATGATTGTTGTGTGTAAGTGTACCATTCTTGTAGAGGGTAGGCGTCGATGGCTCCGTCAGCGGCGTGTGTGAACACATAGTACGCTGCGTTTTCAGAAACACCGCCCTCGCGAATACCTTTGAACCTGGTGATATAGACGAGAACATATGAATATTGCACCTAATGTGGGCAAAAACAAAATTAGGCAGAGAGAGGAGCTTGGATAATATATTTAGACACTAGCTTTCCGCCCGCAGCTTCGCCGCGTGGAGTTCGGTTATATCGCGTTTCCAAGAGAACCTTTCAAAAGTCTGGGATAAAAACTATCCTATGTTCTTTCTCAAGGTCAACTCTATCTCTGTACCGAATTTCATTAAAATCAGTTCAGTGGTTTAGGCGTGAAAGCGTAGCAGACAGACAGACAGACAGACAGACAGACAGACAGAGTTACTTTCGCATTTATAATATTAGTAGAGATCACTGATTAATGCTTTCCCAAAGAGGGTTGATGTCAGGCAGGCGGCCGGTCGTAAAAACAATTAGCCAAAACTATTCACAACATGTAAAGCAGACCCTGGCTAAAGCTGGGCAAATGCCAGGTAGAAAAAGAGGAGCTTGGATAGTGGATGAGAGCTTTTAATGCGCGTTAGATAAGGAATTAAATCTAGACCTGGGTCGCAAGTCCCAGGCACTGTTGAATCTCCTCTCACTACAACGATGGACCCGACACCCGCATATGAATACATTGAATGCTAAGAGGTTTCGTCTCATAACCATGGGTCAATATATACCTACTAATGAGTAAAATATTACTAACTTCTTGCCAGTTTTCCCTCCTACTTTCAGTATCCAGGGTTGATCTTCGGGTTTGTATTTCCTGGAGATGATACCAAATTTCTTCCGTCGAGCCTCTTCCCTCACATCCCTGCCGTATTCTGAACCGGCGCCGAACCTTTAAGATATGAAAAACTAATTTTAAGTCCAATACATATATTGTTTAGCAAAAGAACCCATACATTCGGAGTAAATATAGAATGTACAAAGTATATTGCAATATAAATCATCGATTTTATCCCACATTAAAAGGAAAATGGGCCTAGCATTTTAGGCATTAGGCATAGAACATTCTGGAAGTTGAAACGCTAGTAGGCCCTACTGAGTCGGATGAAATTTTTCGACTAAGAGCAGACAATTCTTAGAAGCTTACAGGAAAAAGTTGTGAAGAAATATCTGTAGCTCTGGATGATATGTCTTTATTACATTTAAAGCTTTCAAAGTAGTTTAAGCGCTATTTCTGCTTTTTTATCTTCGTTGGATGGCACGTTGAACACTAGTTCTTTAAGGGTAGAAGGAAGCTATCAATGGAATGGAATTATAAATCTGTGTATACATGTATTGAGTAATGTGTGAGTTAAGGCATTCTGGTAAGAATCTAACAATGTAAGTTTAAAACTGTATCATGAGTAGGGTCTAGGATATGTACTACTTATTTATATGTATATAATGCACACCACTGCTGCCCTGTTTTGTTTGAACATCAAATATATGAGATATATCATATATTTCAGGGATGCACAGATATTTAGGGTATGATAAGCAGAATATCTTTAAAAATACCAATGTTTACCTTAACTTCCTCCTCTAAAACATTGATAATACTCTCACATTAAGTTACAGTCCGATTAGAAGTAACATCTAATTATATCTTACTTCGGCATTTCCTCTTCAGTTCCTTTAAATTCCTTAATGTTATTCTCTCTCTCCATTTTCACGTGAGTCCACTTTGCGAAGTCCACGTTGAGAGTCGCATTGAATCTCATCACATGGTATTTCTTCTTTACATTCTTTGGCACCCTGATTTTGAATTCTTGTACAGTGGCCGGTTGCTATAAGAGAGGACATGTTTAATTTACACGATTTTATAATTACGATACGTTCAAATTGCTGAGATTTGAAAACTGTGACTTAATTTTGGAATGTTTAATAATACACAAGAACCAATAGTACCATGTTACATACAATTAAAGGGATGAAAATGTATTATCTGGGTCTGAATGCCAATAGTATTATAAATTAATGTTAGTAATGATAAAAAGATATAAGAGGACCAATAGTTTCCCTATTTATACTGTGAGATTTAAAAAATCTTATGACCTTACAGACAAATTCAATACTGGCTAGTAAGAATTTTGATATATCAGACAATTGAGAGACATCAACTTATAATCATTTGTTGTTGAGGCAAACAAGATTTCTTCTTAGAGACTTAAATATTGCATCCTTTATAATGTTTAATATACAAGCTATGAAATTGTAAAATTAATTGTAGTAAAAAGATAGTCTGATAATTCTAAGACATCTAGAAAAGTTTATTGAAAAATAGTGTCTGTATTTTGATTCAATCATTTAAATATCTTCAAGTAAAGTGTCAATATATAAAAATCATAACTTTTATAGAAAAGGAGTAAATTTTGTTGTTGCTTATGACTTAATGATAATTATGAATGTTTTGAAGGCGAAATTTAGAAGTACATAACATAACGAATCTATAAACGGTTATTAGACAATATTTAACATTATACAAATTAATTTATGTTGCTAGTAGTTAAGCAACCTCAATATTTTGTTAGTGCATCAAGTTTATAGACAGTAAAGACTTGCAGGGTGACTTGTGACAATATATAACTTATACAAGTAGAGCTCAAACATGAGATGCAATAAATATATGTATATACAACAATGTTTAAAATAACATTACTGAAAGTTATGTAGAATATCATAAGCATGTTTTAAATTGTCAAAATGATCTTATAATATATTATGAAATGTACTAAATTTTTGCCTAATATTAACAGTACCGATAAAATTACTTATAGTAATATAACCTTTAAATTTTAACTGTATCTTATTTAGTATATAAACATATATGTACATACCAAAGAATATATCATTGAACAAATTAAGAAATACGTACTGAAGTTCCTGGTGTCGTCATCTTAGTCTTGTATTGATACTATGTTAAATAAAGTACTAGAGTAAGTTACTCCTTCACCCTTTTGTACTATTTGTACTCTCTAATAGTACTCTGTAATACGTCAAGTCATATTCTTAGTCTCTTAAAAAAAAGAGTCCCCTGTTATATATAAATATTATTTATATAAGTATTTAATTAACTGTTTTAGTTTACTGTAACTTTTATATAGCTGACGGATTGACAGCTGATTATAATTGTCACTTGGTACATGCCATGGGTAGTCTACCAAAATGTTCTCAACGTTACTTCAATTGTTACCCTAACCTTTTGTATTCTAGCAAAAAATACTGAATTTTCATATTATGTCTTTTTTATTATAAATAACCACATCATAAAATACTTTTTTATATATTTTTTTAACTATAGCTTTTATAATAGAAAACAGATGCATACAGAATTATCCAATCATCACATTTGACAATTGACATTAGCTACATGTGGGATTTTCAAATGAAAACATTATTGTTGTGTAGTTTGTTGTGATATTAAGGCCAAATTTTATAGACATTATCTAATCATGGGTAAAAAGAAAAATAAAAATAAGGTTAGCGGTGCAGTCAAAACTGCTGCCAAAACAGAGAAGAAGTTGGCTAATAAATTAAAAAAAGAACTTGCGAATTTAGGCGAGGTTAGTTCAACAAGATTTCCCGGCTCTATAAGTTTTTTAATAACAAAATGTGTTCTTTGAAGTTTAATACATAATAATAAAATTTGTGCAGGAAGACATAGCTAAAGTAATAGCCGAAATCGAGAAAGAAGAAGCGAAACGCGCGGCGGCTTCTGAGAAGACGTTGCCTCAGCCACCGTCTGCTCGCGCTTACGCTAGCCTGACGCCGCATCCCACTAACAATGAACTTATTGTGTTTGGAGGAGAATTTCACAATGGACAACAGGTATAACATTAGATTTATAAAAGCCTATATTTGTTAAATTTACTTAATAATTATAAAACTTAATTATTATTTCAGACAGAAGTTTACAATGAATTATTATTTTTCAATCCCGTCACTGGTGTTTGGAGACAAGTGAAGGCACCTGGCGCGCCACCTCCTCGAAGTGCACACCAGGCTATAGCTATTCCATCAAATAAGTGAGATTATATGAAGTAAAAATTTATAAATTTTTTTTTTAGTGAGTTTGGTGTGCTGTACAGCCTATATTATTAAGAAAAAAGGTTTCATATGTTATTTACTTATTTTCTTTTGATTCTAGGGGAGAGCTCTGGATCTTCGGGGGAGAGTTCACCAGTCCAACAGAAACTCAATTTCATCATTATAAAGATTTATGGTGTTTCTCACTTGCTGAGAAGAAATGGGAAAAGGTAAACAAAGATTATCTGAACATCTTATTATTAACTATCATATAATGTGGCCAGAAGTAATTTTAATGTTCTGTGAGAAATAATATGTTTATTGAGATGGGTTCCAAACTTGATCTGATATATTACAATGTTCTGAATAATTAGATTTAACTTTACTATATAAGTTTTGGTGATAGTCATTCAATTTCTTAAACTAAACCATGTAATAGGGGCTGTATTACGTAAGCAGATTTATTACAATTATTTACCCCCCCCCCATGCTTACGTAAACATTTTCAATTACTGTATTTTTTTTTTTTAATATAAAATATAAATCCATTTAAAAATATATAATTAATTTCTTTTATGGATCTTCTCGATGTGATGATGAAAAAAGTAAACAACTACCGATGATGTAATCATCATCAAGACTCCCCTACCCCCCATGTCATCCAAAATAAGCAAAGCAAAGCCTCCATAGTGCTTACGTAATACTTGAACAGCCCCATATGAGAGAAATATTAAGTAAGAGTATATTCTCAGACATCATATCACATTAGTGAACAGTTTAAGTACAGCAAATATCCCTACTCCGTTAAATTAAACTACTCTTTTCTGATTACTATGCATTATTTCACTATTTTTAAACTACCTACTCCCGACGTTTCGGTAACTTTGCAGCACCCATGACCACGGTCAGATGAGATGTGAATGTCTGTCTGTTGGCCTTGTTATTTATTATTACAGGATATACACGCAGTAATACCCAAATATTAGTTTAATTTAAATGAATACTCTAATAAGTTTTACATCTCATTATCCCTATTTCTTTAAGGTTGTAGCTCCAAATGGTCCTTCCCCTCGTTCCGGTCACCGTATGGTCCAACTTGGAAGGAAGCTATACGTCTTCGGTGGATATAATGATGATGGACGTGAGTGTAGATACTTCGACGACCTCTACCACTTCTGTCTCGACACTCGAACGTGGACAAAACTGACAGTCAGTGGTAGGGGACCCTGTGCGAGGTCCGCTTGTATTATGTTACCCGTGGGGAATGAAGCTGTAAGTTACTGTTTGTTTCTTCCTTATAACACATTAAAAAATAAGAATTTCAAAAAATAGAAATTGGTTTTATAAATGACTATGCTGATGTATGAGTCATTATCATCATTATTAATGACAATTAGATCAATCTTCACAGACTTTCATATATGATTACATTTATGAATAATCTTATTTTGTCAACTTATATTCTATTTTCTATGATAACCACAAATATTTCATGTAAATTTCCTTTCCAGCTCGTAATATACGGAGGTTTCTCAAGAGTTCGGGAAGGACGGACTGAACGCACACAAACACATACGGATATGTTCAAACTGAGCATCAAAGGCAACTCACACACGTGGCGGTCACTCTCCGGCGGGAATAAGGCCCGCGCCGGACTGGCCGCGGCTGTTAACGTACATAGTAACAGAGGATATGTTTTTGGAGGAGTGTGTGTGAGTAGAGCCTTAGCTAATCTAGATTCTATGTGTTAGTTAATCTAGATTCTACTTTATAATTCAAGGTCTTTAGTAAATATTTATTGTGTAACTAAGTTAAGAAAATATTAGATAATTATTTAGTTAGGACTAAATATAGGAGTAATTTACAAAATTTATATAGAATTAATTTCCTATCAGGATGTTGAAGAAACTGAAGAGGAACTTCGTGGTGAGATGAGTGATGAGCTTCAAGTGTTGGATCTAGAGACATGTCGGTGGCATCCAGTCATATTGAAAACACAGACACAAGCACAGAGTGTACCGACACAGGATACACACGGACAAGATGATACTAAGGAAGCTGTTACTGGTAATAAATTAAACACTAAATAATAACTAATTGTGAAAAAATTTCCTTAAAAGTCGTAATAAAGAAAATATTTCAGCTTAAACTTCTGATAATCTGCTTCCAATTTAGATACGGAGAATTATCAGATGGTAATTAGACGGATTTTTTCTATCCCCGACGATAATATAATATTACACTACATACTTTAATGTAAACATAGCTATTTGACTCAATTATAAGTATATTTAAATATATTGTTGATTCCATCGTCTAATAAGTGTTGTATGGATGAAATATTTGTAATTTCAAATTGGATTATTATTATAAGTATTATTTTTCTATTTCAGTGGTAACAGATGAAGTGTTCACTATGAAGCTCGGTACGGCCCCAAGTCTACAGTCGCCCACACCAGTTCAGCAAACAGAAAGAGTGTCTTCAGGCCCAACGGCTCGTATGTCTGCTATGATGGCTGTACAACGATCAGTGCTTTATGTGTACGGAGGTGTACTTGAAAAAGATGACAAACAGTTTTATCTTGGAGATATGTACAGCTTAGGTGAGATTAAAGACAATATAAATTAATGAGTTTAATATTGAAAACTAATAACACAATGGTTGTTGTAGTATTCAATAAAACTATATTAATTTAATCATGTATGTATTGTGCTAAGTAGCAAAATGATTGACAGCAACTAATAGTGTAAAGTATCTAGATTACACTTGACGTCATATTATTATTTTAACAATACCAAACAAGTATAACTAATACATAACAGTTGTGAATACAAAATACTATGTTATCTTTCAACTACAATACAATATTTTGGTTCAATAACAAGTAAAATAGCTATATAAATAATTTTACATAATATTTGTTTTCAGATTTACACAAACTAAATGAATGGAAGACAATCATAGAACAGCCAACACTTCCAGACTGGCTCGGAACAGATTCAGAATATGAAACAAGCTCGGAGAGTGGAACAGAAGACAGTGATGACTCCGGTGATGAATAGACATACAATAGTCCGGTCAAATTAGACCAAATAATAAGAGTAAGGTTACATAAATTCCCACTAAGCTGAAAATGGGTAAGATTGTTTAAAATATCATTAAAAACAAAATTTGAAAGGGAAAATTTTTATTCAAGGTCAAAGGTAAACAAAATTAGTTTTTCGCGATTTTCAGCAAACCGGTAAGTTTTATCATAAAAATATCTCAGACAAAAATTGTAGATCAAAAAATTATCTACAAAGAATTTATTAATACTACTTTTTTTTCTACGAGTTACCGTTTTTGAGATATGTATAATGATACAAAAAGTTGTAATCGTCATGAGTAAGTCACGTATATACAGGGTGACTGGTGAATTACTATCAATATTTAAGGAGCATACTCGGTACATGATTCTCATTCGAATTATGTAAAAAAAATAGGTACTTAATTATTGACCAAATTTCCGTATAAATAAATAAAGTGTGTACACGTTCCAAGTGTTCCAAGCGTGGACGTGTGCGGCGGCGTGCTGATACAACACTACGCCGCCGCCGCGTCTGTGTGAGTGTGTGTGTATACCTAATCTGTAGGGTGTTCATACGATGCGTAATACCCTTGTCACCCTGTATACTTGTACACAGTGGCGGCTGTACCTTAAGTGCACTCGTGCGCTGAACCACCAAATCAAAAGAATTAAAAGTTACAAAATATTACTTAATCTTTATTTTTAAATTACCATTTTAATATTTATTTTCTAAACATACAAAAACGTATAAAAAATTAAATTTCTAATTATAGTCAAAAAGTTTGAGCGCTTTACTAAACTAATATCTCGTGCGCTTCGGCGAGTGCACGAGGACGGCTAATACATCTTGTATGAGATGCGCATTAATACGCCTGGCGCGTGAAACAAAAGATAGTTCATAGAAATGTACCGAGTAACGAGTCGGTTCTCGAGCGCCGCACGAGCGGCCGAAGATTACCGAGAGCACCCGATGTATGACGAATTGGAATTGAAAAGAATCAAAACTTTTCTACGAAATACCATGCCCTTGCTAAATGCACTTTCTATGCTTAGTATTGAAAAAAATAATTATACAAACAATACCCGATTTTAATAAAAAGGTGATTGAATATATGGGCGCGGTTATGGATACCGAATTATATTTATAAAATTGTATATTGTTATTTGTTTAACTTTAAATGAGTTTGTAACACTTTGTGCTACCCTCTTCTAAAAATATTAAATACAGTCTTTAAAAGGGCGAACATTGTCAGTGAGCATTCATTCTATTGGTTGTACCGAGTGACATAACATTGTAAGCTGAAACTCTCGAAGTTTGAATATAAATCTGTTACTGTGAAGTCTGTGGTATTATTTCTAAAGCAATCCGAAGCACGCTACTCCGACAGCAGCGGTGGGATCCCATTCGCCAATTTTGGGAGGCTCACGGGACGGGAGTCGAAACGACCAGACTTTAGCAATGCAAGAGGTTATGAGTCTAGTTTCTACAATGAGCAAGCAAGCAGCTTCGGGCGCCGTGACTACTGCTTTAGGAGCTGGCTTATCTTCAGGAACGTTAAGAGGCAATTTCTATCTACCACCCTTCGACCCGGACGTCCGCTCACACGACATTCAAGACTGGTACGCGGGCGTGGATGAGGTGATTTCTGCCGGCGGTATGTCGCAGCGGGAGGCAAGAGTGGGAGCTGTGCTGCACCTGGAAGGAAGGGCTGAGATCTGGGCTGACGCGTGGTCGCTGCAGTCGGCCTCGTGGCAGCAAGTGAAGGAGGACCTCATTCGAGCCTTTGGGAAGGAGGTCCGCTACGCTGGCGACGTCCAGAGGTGGCGCGGTTACACGTCTGAGCGGGCGGACGGTTGCTCCGATCGCGCAACGACGGGCTGGACGCTGTTCGGGCGCGTCAGGCCGGAAGCGAGTGATTGAAAAATTATTGACGCTTTGTTAACAGGTATTTATCGTGACTAAATTAGAAGTGAATTATTAAGGACTATATCCAGTTCTTTACCTCTCTTAGTGTCTGTTTAAAAAAATATATATATAAACTTATAAAATGAGTAAATATTATAATATCGAAAGTAGCAATAGTAACCAATGTAAAAGAACATGGCCGACAGTTAGCTAGTAAATCGTATGGTAATTGTTATAATTGTAATGAACCCGGTCATTTTTGCTCGCGATTGTGAAAATAAAAGAACTGTTACATCCGGAGGTCCATTGGCTTTAAATACTGTAAATAATACTAATAATATAATAAAATATTCTGAATGAAGTTACTGTCTTGAGCGAGGTCATGTTGAAAAAATAAAAATTGCTTCTTTAAACAAAGTGAGTGTTCGAAGTCAAATTATCTAAGTATTGGTTTGTGTATTTCAAGGGATCGTAGTATAACTGATATAAAGATAGGTGGTCGGACTTATTGCGCCTTGGTCGATACTGCTCTTTAATTAGAAATAAACTCGCGGGATCTATTCGAAACAAGTGAAAAATCGTTAGTGTGTCATTTATGGGTATAGGCGGGTGTCCAGTAACAGTAGAACGACGTTTGCACTGAAATAGAATTTTATGCAGTCGGCGATACTCAATCTCAGCTTGACATTTTTAACGTTTCGACGATATTAAAACCCCAGGTCTAAGCGTTACTTTTTGTAAAGAGGGTATATCGATAAAACGTAGTTTTATTATAAATGAAAGTGTCACCATTACTAATTCTGATGACTTTAATAAAAATACTGATATTCAAGATCCAATATTATTATCGAAATTAAAAAAAAACTCTTGACACCTTTAAACACAGTTTTAGAGTCGGTAGTTAAAACGGGCGAATTAAGCATCAAACTGAAAAATCTAGATAAAATAGTTCAACGTAGACCGTATCGAATGTCATCATTAGAACGTGAAACTGTTAAAAATATTATAAATGACCTAAAAGCTAATAATAATAATAGGTATTATTCGAGATAGTTCTACCCCGTTTAGTAACCCGATCCTTTTAGTTAAGAATAAAAACGGGTCTGACCGTCGCGTCTGTAAGGGATAATTATTCACTACCATTAATCGCGAACCAAATTGATAAATTAGGTAAGGAGCGATTCTTTACGTGTTCAGATATAGCGGCCGGTTTTCACGGAATTGTATGTAATCAGAGAACACTTTATTAAGAAAATCGCATTTGTTATCCCAGATGGACAATTTGAGTATTAACGTATGACTTTTGGATTGTGTAATGTACCCGCGGTATACCAGCGTGCTATAAATAAAGCTTTAGGTGACTATAAAGATAAAATAACCCTCGCTTAGGTTGATGACGTCACGATTACGTCACGGGGTATTGAAGAGGTTATACTTAAATTTAAACTTAGTATTACACAGATTGTCCGATGCGGGTTTTTCAATAGATATTTCCAAATTTTCTTTCCTTAAAACTAGCGTAAGCGTTTTTTGTATCAGATAAAAACGGTGATTTTCTACCATTTAATTTATCTATAAATATTTAAATTATTGATCATAATTGGCTTCTCATAGAACAAAAGCGTGACCCTTTCTTAAAACAATATTGTTGTCAAATTAAAATCGGATTCAATTCCCCAAACATTAGCGGATACATATGTTATTTTAAAAGATAAATTGTTAAGGCGTAAAAATTCAAATAGACAATAAAACATTGAAACTGATTATTATAGTATCCCGTTATCATCGTTGGAGTCTTATTTCCCATTATCATGATTCTTTACAACATTTTGCCTGATAAAAGTTTTAGCTAAAATCAGAGAACAATATTGGTTCCCCGATATGTCAAAGTTGGTTAGGAAATTCGAAGAAAATTGCGTTAGTTGTCGTGTTAGAAAAGGAATATCAGGCGCTAAGCAAATAAGATTATATCCGATCGATAAAGTCAGCATCCCTTTTCATACAATACACGTCGACATTACAGGTCGTATGAACGGTAAACGTAACCAGGCTGAGTATGCGTTTGTGTTTAATGACAGTTTCACTAAATACGCCAATCTCGTATATACAAATGACCGCACGACAGAAACCGCGATTAAATGTTTACGTAACGTTATCTCAATATTCGATACCCTAGTCGTCCCATATCCGACCAAGACGACAGCATGACCTCCGCGTATTTTAAACTATTTTGTAATGAGAACGGTATAGAACATCATAGCGCCAGGGGCGCCAGTAGGGCTAATGGACAGTTAGAACTAATTGTGAAGGTCATTAAAGATTATAATTTGTCAGTAATTGAACTTAATAAGCCGTGGCTTAGTGCGATACAAGAGCTACAATTGGCAATAAATTCCACAATATCAAAAGTACCGGTAAAAGCCCCTTAGAAATATTAATTAGTAAAAAGTGCTCGCCACCGCTTATTAAACTATTACAAGTTGATGATGATGATGAACCTATAGAAAATTTAAATTGTGTAAAGCTTCTTTGTAAAAAAAAAAGGGATGGCCGAGCGATCTCATCAGGACAAACTAAGGTTCGGTAAAAGTAAAGCAAAAAATAATCCATTTAAAGTCGGGGATTTTGTTCCCATGCGTCGTCATGAAAGAAACACTACAAAACTTGGTTCTAAATTTGAACGTGCTATGGAGATTCTAGAAATTTTACTTAACGATCGTTATAAATTGAAACGCCTCAACCTTAAAGGATGTAGTGAAAAGATCGCTAGCCATGACTTTTTTTTAAATGATGATTAGATTATAAAGACGATGAGCATATGTTTTAATTATAAGTGATAAGCTACTTTGTATGTGACATATTTTCTTGTTTTAGTATTAATTGGAAAGAACAATTATTGAAAGATTACTTGTACTATACTTGTTTGTTCAAAACGAAATTATGTAAAGAGTATCCTTGTTTACCTTGTATAGACGATGAGCATATGTTTTAATTATAAGTGATAAGCTACTTTGTATGTGACATATTTTCTTGTTTTAGTATTAATTGGAAAGAACAATTATTGAAAGATTACTTGTACTATACTTGTTTGTTCAAAACGAAATTATGTGAAGAGTATACTTGTTTACCTTGTATAAGGGCAAGACCCTATGATGAGTGAGCCGTATGGGCAAGACCCCATGATGGGTGAGCCGTGAGTTATGTATTGGCAAGACCCCATGATGGGTGAGCCGTGAGTTATGTGTTGGCAAGACCCCGTAATGGGTGAGCCGTGAGTTGTGTGTTGGCAAGACCCCGTAATGGGTGAGCCGTGAGTTGTGTGTTGGCAAGACCCCGTAATGGGTGAGCCGTGAGTTGGCAAGACCCCCGTTGTGGATGAGCCAGGACTGGGCAAGAACCCGTAATGGGTGAGCCGTGAGTTGTGTGTTGGCAAGACCCCGTAATGGGTGAGCCGTGAGTTGTGTGTTGGCAAGACCCCGTAATGGGTGAGCCGTGAGTTGTGTGTTGGCAAGACCCCGTAATGGGTGAGCCGTGACTGGGCAAGAACCCGTAATGGGTGAGCCGTGAGTTGGCAAGACCCCCGTTGTGGATGAGCCAGGACTGGGCAAGAACCCGTAATGGGTGAGCCGTGACTGGGCAAGAACCCGTAATGGGTGAGCCGTGACTGGGCAAGAACCCGTAATGGGTGAGCCGTGACTGGGCAAGAACCCGTAATGGGTGAGCCGTGACTGGGCAAGAACCCGTAATGGGTGAGCCGTGACTGGGCAAGAACCCGTAATGGGTGAGCCAGGACTGGGCAAGAACCCGTAATGGGTGAGCCGTGACTGGGCAAGAACCCGTAATGGGTGAGCCGTGACTGGGCAAGAACCCGTAATGGGTGAGCCGTGACTGGGCAAGAACCCGTAATGGGTGAGCCGTGACTGGGCAAGAACCCGTAATGGGTGAGCCGTGACTGGGCAAGAACCCGTAATGGGTGAGCCGTGTGTTGGCAAGACCTCCGTAGTGGGTGAGCCATTTAATTAGTTTGTTCACAGGTACCGGAGGAACAGCGCGGGGAGCGCGCTGGATCAGAATGGCCGTATGGGCGCGGTTATGGATACCGAATTATATTTATAAAATTGTATATTGTTATTTGTTTAACTTTAAATGAGTTTGTAACACTTTGTGCTACCCTCTTCTAAAAATATTAAATACAGTCTTTAAAAGGGCGAACATTGTCAGTGAGCATTCATTCTATTGGTTGTACCGAGTGACATAACATTGTAAGCTGAAACTCTCGAAGTTTGAATATAAATCTGTTACTGTGAAGTCTGTGGTATTATTTCTAAAGCAATCCGAAGCACGCTACTCCGACAAATATTTCGCTTCAGAAAAATGTCGTCGCATTGATTTAATGTATAAAAAATAATCAAATTTTATGTCAATTGGTTTTTTGTTGCATTTTTTAATTTTAAAATTTTAGTAAAGTGCACCACCAGTTCGATAACCCACCAGCCGCCACTGCTTGTACATCTGTATAGTTGTAATATATGTTAAAATATTTTTACACTTTACTTCCACCTGCGCCGGAAAAACTGCTGAACTCAAGTTTTTGCAACTGCAAAAACTGTAGTGCTAAATGTGGTTGCAAAAAAGTCGGACGACATCGGACGATTAAATTTCATTACTTTTTTTTTACTTAAATTGCTTTTATCTTTTCAATCTGTGCTAATATCCATTATTTATCAATAGTTTGAAATTAAACAAGATCAAAACTGACCCGTGGAATAGACCTACTGGGGAAGATACAAAAAAAAAGCTAAGTACACTACCTCAAAGGTGGCGAGGAAACGTGTGCATATTATGACGATTACAACTTTTACAACTTTTTGTATCGTTATATCTCAAAAACGGTGGCTCGTAGAAAAAAAAGTATTAATAAATTCTTTGTAGATAATTTTATGATCTACAATTTTTGTCCGAGATATTTTTATGATAAAACTTACCGTTTGCTGAAAATCGCGAATAACTCATTTTGTTTACCTTTGACCTTGAATATATTTTTTTCCTTACAGGGGATGGGGATCTTTCAAATTTTGTTTTTAATCATATTTCAAACAATCTTACCGATTTTCAGCTTGGTGGGAATTTATGTTACCTCGAATGTCTAATTTGACCGGACAACAAATAACTCTAATAATATGTAGTATTAAGCATAAACTTTTTATTGTTTATAAACTGATGTATAAATAAAATGTTTAAAGAATTTTCTTATTCTTTTCTTCTCTTTTTTTGATGATGCCTGTTTTTCAAAGTGGTGTCTAAGTTGAACTTATCCAATTCAAATTACCAGCTAAATAATATTAAAAAACAGCTGTCTCATAATATTAATGAACTGCATAAAATAATTGTATAGTTGTTGTAGGTACTTCAGCAATTTGTTTTTGAGTAAAAATTATTGTGTGTGGAGTCACTCACTATAGAAGAAGTGAAACTTGGTAATGTTTTAAAACAGGAAAGAGTAGAAATTGATTTTTAAGGCATTTTAAGTGTTTCTTTAAGACAAAGTTTATTAACATTACTTACAAATCACAATTGTTTGCCCGCATTCGTTAAAGAATCAAAGATTCCCTGTCTCTTTTTATAGCCACAGCCATAAAGAGTAATATGGATTCATATATTTTATCTAACGAGTATATGATATATTTCACTATGCTTGTTCTAAGTTTGCATCGCTAAATTATAAATGAAGCGTTTCCCGTTTCTCATTTAATAACCTACGATAGTACTGTTACGTGCGAAAATTCATGAAAGAAAACCTGTTAGAGCTTTGTATGCTGTGTGACTACACAAACTTAGAATAAGAATACTGATATTATCAAAAATTAAATACTTTACTTGAAAATTATTTTGGGTTGATAAATATAATACTGTTTAGGGTCAATGGTCATTTTAAGACAGTATAATTATTTTGATAATAATATAATTATTAAGATAGATTAATAATAGAAATAATTTCATGTTTGCCCTACACAAACACAATATTATGAGAAAATGTTTTAACTTATATCTGTGACCATGGTTACCAAGATATTTTTAATATTAGAAAAACATTGAATTTGATTTAATCGACACAGGCGTTCTTATTAAAGTAATTAATTACAACAAATATCAGCACTAATTCATTATTTTAAAATCGTGTTTGCAAGTTTAGATGGAGTGTTATTTTATAGGAATTAGCAGGAGCGGGTTTAAATTTTTAAATAAAACAATTAAATCAATAGACATGACAGTTTATTTACACATTAACTATGTGTTGTGTCTACATAATATATAACGTTTAGGCTACATTATTACATCTTTTATATTTCCATTTCACAAATAAACCAATAGGTTAATAATTTATATAGATGTTATTATTTGTGTGCTGCGTATAATCATTTTAAATAATAAACTATAAAGCAACAAATCACCTTCACTATTTATTACATTAATATTCATCAGTTATAAAATAAGTCATTCAAATCATTTATTCACTGAAGAAAATAAAAGCACTGAAAAAGATAATAAATTGCATATTGATACAATCTCTAGTTATACACAAAATAATATTAAAACATTTCAATAACAATTACACGATGTGTTCGTTTTATGACAAATTAACGTTACAAATCACATTGAAATGACAATTGGCAGAACATTGATATGTTTTTTGGCAGTTAATGTCATTTGGCAGATAATAATAGTCATTGTTCAAAATTAGTTTTCTTTTTTATTGAGTCGATGATATCCAAATATTAAAATGTATCATTAGAAAGTTATTTTTTAACATCTCTCTGAGACGGCTAACTTCTATCTAGCATTGACTATAAAATCGTGGTTCAGATTCTGAACGTCAAAAATTGTCATACAACATACAACGTTTCTATTAATTGTAATTTATATTTTCTTAACATCACATTATATGTCTAAACATTATTCCTTTTTAATTAAGAGTCACCTTTTAATGTATACAGAGAGTTTCAGAGGAAATTATTTAACAGTACCCTGTCATATCTAGAACAAACGTTTGAACGTACCGAAATCCGTATATACGCGATGTTCTCGTTATAAACCACGAGTGATGATTTTTTTATTAATTTCTATTCAATTGATAAACTTACAAAACTTACATGATAGTACCGAAAATTATGTTAAGTATTTTAATATATTTAAGACTAGTAGTATTTTAATATATTTAAATATTTAGTTTATTATAAAAATATCAATACACCTTATCCAGAGCAGCTTTTAAGTTATCTTAAAGTTTGTTATGAACGTCGTATTTAAGATTTCAGAACCAATTTCATGAATTTCGATAAGATGAATAAAATAAAATTTTAAAATCGTGCCAGAGAAGTTTTGGTCCCAATAAATAATTCATTTTTTCAATCTACATGCGAACGTAAACTAAAAAAATTAATTGTTTCATTTAAAATAAAGTTAGAAATCTATTATATAAATAAAAAAATAATAATAATCTGTAGCGAATTTATTAAAAATCGATTATTTATTATAGAAATATTGTGCGTTGGTATCTATAAGACTAAGTATGGCATGTAGACAGTTCACTATACACTGGTTTCACTTACTGTAAACATATAAGCTTAGTTCACAATGCACCGAGCGACAATTATATACATTACAGAAACAATTAATTCATTATTATGTCTGATAAAAATATATACTTGGATATATTCGTAATACATTGTAAATTAATTTCATATAAAAATCAAGCTGAAAGCTGTAAAACATAAATTGCATCATAGAATAAAAATAAAAAAAAATAGAAATATTTAAGCGACATTATGTATACGTCAGTCAGTTAAACTTAGTCCAATGAAAATCGTACGATACGATTATAAGAAATATACGTATCTTTAAGCATATTTAAATTATTTCAACACACCGTATAACGATTTGATATCATTTATATTGCATATATTTTATTATGTACAAGTGTGTCAGCTGTTCTTACAATCGTATCGCAGGGAGCAAATCAGTCTTAACTTAGTCTACCATCAATAATATGTACACTTTAAATATTTGTTCTTCCGAAGCTGCAGCTCGCCGCGGGCTTTATTTACACGAGCGGCGACCCGACATACATCATGAGAATATAAAAAGAAACATTCGCTATCTAACACCATCATAATTTACAAGTTTATATTTACAAGACTAAATAAATACACGATTTGGCTGTTCCTAAACGTTTTCGAGCTAATTGTTTCGGTTATACATAAAGAATAATAACCGCACTTGTTATTGTCGACCACACGTCGAAATAAATTAACGCGACACATTCATTGTTCCTTGATTGTACACGCTCACGTCACTGACACTGACTAGTCGAGGCGTGACGTCACCGGGTGTGACGTCACGCTTCACAGTTGGAGCCCCGCCGAGTGTTCCAAATTCAAAACAGGTCGGTGAGGATGGAGCCGAACCAGGCGCAGACGACGGGCAGCGCGTACGTGAAGAGCGCGCTCTGTAGTGAGGGTCGCTCGGCGCCGGCGGCGGCGGGCTGCGGCGCGTCCTGTTCGCCCGCGTCGATGGCGGCCGGCAGGTTCACGTTCTTGGTGGCGGGCACGTTCACTACACTCGGCACTACCGGTTGTTCGGTCTCAGTCGGCTGTTGCTTCTCTGTGTCGATGTCAATCGGGTCCATAGTTGATTCGCTGATGCCGGAGCCTGGAATTTTCAATGATTCGTTAGAGCTGACACGTGTATGTCTTTTATTTTATAAGATACTAGTTTTTGCCAGCGACTTCGTCCGCGTTAATTTCTTCAATGGTAATATATGTATAGCTGACCGGGCGAACTCTATTCCGTCCTAGAGGCCATAAATAACCAGGTATTGGTATTTATTACATTTTTCCTGTTTCAATCAAACAAAATGATTGACATATTAGTTAGTTGTCAAATCTAATGTCAAAAAAATGTTTGTATGGGAAATAGAAAAGGGCTGAGATCACACGGGAATGCTGTCGAACGGGATTAAAAGTATCCTATATCCTTCTCCTGGGTCTAAACTACCTCCCTGCCAGTTTTCAGCTAAATCGGTTGAGCCGTTCTTGAGTTATACGTGGAGTAACTAACACGACTTTCTTATATATAGTATTGTTGTTATCCTACCTTCATAGTCCTTGCTGGGGTCTCTGTCCTCGTCGTCGTCGGGCAGGTCCTCCGTGTCGTCCGTGTCGTCTCCCGACCCTGACCCTGACCCGGCGTTGTCAATGAACTCGCTCTGGGACGCGGCCGCTGATTGCAGGTCTTCAGCTATAAATTGAAGATGTATTATATATTATTGTTATATTTTATTTTATTTTTTTTATGTTAAAAGTGGCAAACGAACAGACGGCCCCCTTGATTGAAGGTGGTTACCGTCGCCCATGGACATCCGCAACATTTTTCTTGCGGATGCGTTGCCAAAATTGATTTTTAGGAATAGGGAGAGGTGGGAATAAGGAAATGGTAAGAAAGGGTTGGAATAGAGAAAGGGCAACCGGCTCTCTCACTCATCGGACGAAACACAGCCATTAAAGGTTACTTTACGATTATCATTTGTGACAGGGTGGTACTTCCAGCCAAGTCAGCCCATGTTCGAGCTGTAGTAACTGACCACAGCTAGGCTGTACCACCTAAAATATTCGTGTCGTGACGTGTTGTTTTCGTGTCAAGTGACGTCACGTGTGTTCGTCGTGTGTAACCCACCTGTGTCCATCCAGTGCACCTCGACTCCGTTGTAAGCGTCCTTCAGTCGCCCGGTCAGTGTGCGGAGAGCCTCCAGCGGCGACACGTCAGTAGCGGGCGGAGGGGGCGGTGGGGGGGAGCGGACCTCCGGGTTGGAGGCCAGCGCCGCTGACCCGTCACCAGCAGCTATCGACGTATAGCTATGGAGACGTCACAGTTCAATTTATATTGGTTTTATAATGTACCTTACGTAACGTGATACCTAAAAAGCTATTCCGAAATATTTATAGTGTAATGAATCAAAGAGAGACCAAATCATTGGTTACAACCCCCTTTTTTTTTGATGACGCAGGGAAACTCTTTTTAAGAGCCGTCCAACCGGCCTTGGTGGGGCCGGAAGGGATGTGTGAGGCTCGGCCTGGGCAGGTCCCTACTAACTAAAAATTGGTAACAACCCCAATTCAATACATATAGTCGCTGTATTTGGTAATGAGAGTAGTTTCTATGTATATACCTGGCAACATGACTGCCGTTGTAGCAGGGCGCGGTGGTAACACTAGCTGTGGAGCAGAGCAGCGCCGGCAGGTGGAGCCAGTAGCGGCGGGACGCTCGGACACGGGAACGAGTCTCGCGGACTAACTTCTCTAGCTCGGGACCAGAGTCCGCTCCTGTAGAACAAACATATTGAATACTCACACACATACATAGATACAACCATAGATAACACTTATACGGACACGCATAGACAATCTATACTATGTACACGGACACGCATAAACAATCAATATTATTATGAAATGAATCAATGTATCACAAAAGTTAAATAAACTCAAATTGTTAATTTATTCATTACATTATAACCGTCTTATGAGTGGTATTTTTTGGTTGTTATTTTGTATCAATAAGTATCATAACTAGATATGTTAATACTCACCGTGTCCTGTTTCAGTCTTAGCGGCCGCCAGCTTCTTCTTCTTGGAGCCTCGTTTCCCGTCAAACTCGTACGACTTATAGTCTATTTCTGTTCCGCCCTGCGCCGCGGGTTCAGGGTCCGCGTCTCGTTTCCTCCGCTCGTGTTCCTCATATTCTTCTAGTTGTATCTGTCCCCTCATGTATTGGAGGAACCGTTCCCTCGACTTGGCGTTCTCTGCCATTTCCTCCGTCGCTTTACGAATACTCTCGGGCGTCTTGAGGCTCATTAGCGACGGGTCGTCGTTGACAACACTCTCAAAGGATGCCTCGATCTCAAAATCGTCGACATCATTAGATTTATGATTCCAATCGAAGTCTGGTATCGATCGGGCGTAACGTTTGTTCCTGCCCGGGGGGAAAAACGGCCCCGTGCTGCCGCCACCCCCCAGTACAGGTTTCCCGCAACCAGAGAAGATTTTCTGCGAGATCTCCTGGTTACGCTCCTGGAAGCTCATGATGGCTTCGGATATTTTAATGTCAATCGGTTCCACGACCATAGCTATGTTGAACGGTCCGAGTAGCCGATCTGCTACCTTCTCGACAGCATCTGAAAATGAAATTATATTTAAGGACCTTGTGTTATACGTTATTGCAACTTAAACAACTGTTCCCGAAAGCTTCATTAAGTTTATATTAACATTAGTGCTTTTTTGGGTGTTTCCCCATCTTTTATACAATTTCTATGGCTATCTATACCGTTTTTGAAGTGTAAAGTCTTCATAAACGTAGTTTAGCAAGGAGATCCTATATAACTCACCAACATAAGCGTCCCATTGGTCCCCAAGGTCTGCGTGTGTCGGCAGACAGCCGCGGATGACGTTGTGACAGTAGCGACTACAGGCAGGGACCTGGTGACCCGCGCACGAGCCGCAGTAACGGAGACGAGCCCACGCGGTCACACACTCCTGGGTTACACCCACCTGAACATATATTGACAAAACTCCTATAATTAATGGCCCTTCTAATGGATAAAATACAGATCCAAATAACTAAAAAGTTATATAGGCATTATTTATGAGGACAATTTGTGTTTTCAGTGTCTAAAGGACTATTAGTTTTTGTTTCATTTATTTTTAGCTCTAAACAAAGAAATATAAGCATACTAACACGTCCTCTACATATTATGTTTTAATGATGCATGTAAGGGAACAATAAGTCTCCGTATCATGATGATTGATATTCTCAAACATCCAGACCCATGATCTAACCATAATCTCGGTCGTGTCAATGCCTTGATCTCTGTTCTATGGGTCATTTAAGACGTAAACGCTGATCGGCATTCCGCACGTATTTCTTTAAGTGGAATGTTGTCGAGTGACATACGAATAGGCCATAATCGCTATATTTCTTTGTCGTAAACATAATTACGAACACATGGGCCACAACATATGAACGTATTAACTGAAAAAACTGTCCGTAATCTAATACAAATATATTTTTCGGTATTATTAATAATGAATTCCAAGAATTAAGTCAGTGGTGGCTCAGTGGTTAAAGGGCCCGCCTCTCGGCCTCTCGTCGCCGAAGGCGCGGGTTCGATCCTGGCCCGGGCAAGTACCAATGTGATTTTTCGGAATCATATGTACTTTCTAAGAGTATTTAGACATCACTGATTAATGTTGATTCCCAAAAGAGGGTTGATGTCAGGCAGACAAATAACCAAAAACTATTCATAACATGTAAGGCAGACCCTGGCTATAGCTGGGACATTGCCAGGTAGAAGAAGAAGAAGAAGATTAATAATGAATTCCAAGAAATAATTTTCGCAATCATCATCAATATATCAAGTTTAAAATAAATTGCGACCAAACGTCGGAGTGACATCACCGCGGCGAGCGTATGTGTGAAAAACATAATGATTTCATTCAATATGTCCGGGACGCGAAATGTGTACTGTATAATTATAATATTAATTGCCAATTCATATGTCATCTGGCGCCATAAGGGATCAACGCACGAGTGAGTCACAGTCCAAGAACTTGTTCCCTAGATGGTCCACTCATCCGAATTGAATACCGATGAAGTTTTCTACATTCAGTGCCGAATTCCGCATGCTATTTGCATATGCATGCTGTCCTCCATAATGATTGCTAAGTGCGAATACAATACAGTTGCTATGTAAAGCGGCCGGACCAAAAAGATCGCGACATCCGAGGTGGTCCGTGAAGGTCATATGGCAAATTATAGGCCATTACGGACGCCTTTTTGGGACATTGCCGTAACTAGTAACCTCTTGCTTATATTTGGTGTCTTATATTATGAAATCGTTCGACTTCATTTGTATATTCAAATACAAAGTAGAAACAATAGCAACCTAAAATATTACAACATATTTTGACACGTAAGAATTGATTGAAAACAATTTCGTTAATTAGGTAATCATATATTCACGTTTAATATATCTCTCTTATAAATTTTAAAGTTAAAGCATCTGGTATTACCCTAAATTTTATTATCAAATATTTTTCAAGTGCGTCAATTTTATAGATAATGACAATTCATAAAATTCATACATATTTATCTGATAATATTTTACATTCCGCAATCTGAGCCGGCTCATCGAAACCGGTAGAGCATAATTATGACAAACGAAATTATTACTGAAACCTGTTTTTTTATACATAGTTTGTCACAGAGTAAGGGTAAGCCTAGTGTGGTTGCCGCCTTATCACTGTTATGATAGCCCTAATCTGATAGAACCCTCATTGACGTCAAACGAAACTTGAGCATTCAATGGATTCACGGTGCGGGTGCCGGGTACATCGTTATATAGATGAGTTTCGACAGTGCCAGGGACTTGCGACCCAGGTGTATGTTTAAGTCCCTATCTAACGCATTGAACGCTCATCTCCATCGTCCAAGCTCCTAATTCTCACCTGCATCATATTCCTGACAACGTCAGCTCCTGCCCGAAGCGCCTTGTGGAAGGTGCGTGTTGCGACGAACGCTCGCCTCAGCTGAGCTGATAGTTTTGATGGCACGTCCTCGAAAGGCTGAATATCACGCATGTGCTCGTTCACACACTTCAGATACCTGGGGGGAAAGGATCCACGTGTTAAAGTGATCGTAGCTATAATATTTATAGTTTATCGCTCCTACACTGTAACCAGACTATATTCGGCCTGTTTCTGGCTCTTCGAACATTATTGTTATATTGCTTTCAGATAAAACCGACACATCGTTATTTCTATTGATAACTTAAATTTATGACCACGTGCTTTATGTCTGATTTTTCAAAAACTAAATTTTAAAGTGAGGAAAATAAAATTTACTTACGAATAAAAATTAATTATTGATTATTAATTATGTCCCTATAGATGTCTTTAAAACGTAAATATAAAATGAATGTAAATTCAATGCGTCTATAATATTTTTTTATAAAAATATAGTAATTGATAAGTTATTTTATCATTGTTTAAAATAAAATAAGATTTTTGCATCGCTAATTAACGGCGGGTTTTATCAAAGTTCGTGGAAGCAAAAAGTTAAAAGGATCAGAGACCAAACGTCCAAAGGCGAGAAGATTACGATACTCTTAATGTAAAAACATTTGTATGTACAATATTATCATATAACCAACGACTGCTACAAAAAAAATACACCAAGAATACTAAGTATGATTCCAAATCCCCTGTCAATTGTTATTATAGAAAACAAAATAAGCATACAATTATGATATTTATTGTTATTCCATAAGGGTCATAATGCTGTGTAGTTATAATGATTATATCTCACAACTTGAGCAGTATATTTAAACGCGAGTATGTTTATAATAAACCTTCAGACAACAATAAGTGTTGGCTACGGACGATATAAAAAGTATAAGTGTCATATTATACTGCTGTTATGTGGCTAATGGGCCGTCCACGTGGTTACAGTGTTAGAAACAGTAACTTTACCGCTACGACAGATAAAAGGGGTTTTCAGTTATATTAGACTGTAAATGCACTCACTTATCATCAAAGTTATACTGTGAGTTCAGAACGGCGAACATTTTCTGATACAGGATCCCAAAGAAGCTGTCCATCATCTCGTCAAAGTCGCTGTCTCCTCTCGTGTAATACCTGATCAGGGGAGGCAGGGATGAACACATTAGTTACTGGTCTAGATAATTATACATTATTATTAGTTAACATTCAATCTCATCATCATTTCAAATTCTTTTGGCAGCCCTGATAAGGAAACAGGGATGAACACACTTATTACTTGTGAAGAATATAATATATCGGTAACATTTCATATCATCATCATTTCAAAATCTTTTGGCAGCCCTGATAAATATTCTAATTTTTTGTAAATTTAGTAAGGATTCTCACCTCTCCAACTGTTCAAAGAGTTGCTCGAAGACATATGAATGCTGTTCGTAGATCATGCCGTACGTTCGTTTGAACATAGCATGGAACTCCTCTCTGGATAACTTAAGGAGCTTTCGGAAGAAATCTGAAATAATAATAGCTTTGTTTTATTAATGTACTAGCGTTCCGCCCGCAGCTTCAGAGTTCGGTTATATCGCGTTTCCAAGAGAAGCTTCCAAAAGTCTGGAATAAAAACTATCCTATGTTCTTTCTCAAAGTCAACTATATCTCTGTACCAAATTTTATAAAAATCAGTTCAGTGGTTTAGGCGTGAAAGCGTAACAGATAGACAGACAGAGTGACTTTCGCATATATAATATTAAGTAGGCATAGAATGGCTGTCATAGAAACAGTAGGTATGCCATATTATTTTCCATATATCTCGACGTAGTATATGGGTCTTAATATCGTACAAGTTGTAACATGAACGCGGTCAGTCGTGAGAGTTGCAAGTAGTGGTTTCATTACAATGGTCGGAGCAATCGATACACTTTGTATGGGAACAGATCGTTAAGCGTTGGTTACACTCGCCGCTTAATAATTGCGAATTTCAAACCCACTGTATTGAATTATGGAAATCTGAGCTTCGAACTCTTCATGGGTACTTGAAATAGTTTCACTCTCGATGGAGTGGTCGATCATAAAATATTGACCTATAATTACAACTCACGTATAGTAATTAGTATGGAGCATTCATTAACTTTTTTTCTAATTTAAGTACGTGATATCGAAAGACGGAAAATAAAAACAAACAAAAATGATTATATATAACATGAATTATTTTTCATAAGCTATTTCGTATCGAATGAAAATTAACAAAAAATTTACCTCATCAACTATATAAACATATTCAACGCCCCAGTTTAACGAACATTAAACCATAATATTATCACGAGACGTATTTCTTTGTTATATTTTAACGATGTAATTACTGAAACGACACCGTTTAGGAATGTCTGGCATGGAAAAATCTAGATCAGGTTGAAACATGGAATATAAATAATTTATTTATCCAAAAAAGTCGTACGAAGTTACGTATTCCACTTGCACTTTCATTTCACTCTCTATTAATTGGACATTAAAATTTATTTTCGATCGTAAATGCATATTTATATATAATTAAATATAAAATATATACATATAGTTATACGGTTACATAACATTTTATATTATATCTATGAAATCTGTATTGGACTTTGTAATGTGTTGAGACGATGCCAAAAAAAACATGCCTGGTAGCAGATACTACTCGTACATATGAATGGGGTTTTATATAAGAGGATTACTTGACTATTTGTAGACCTATGTTATATTTGAAATATAAAAAGAAATATTAATTTAGTCATTACAATACAAAACATTAAGTAGTTGTCTCGATTGAGCAAATTTTACAGATGTAAATGACACTTTAAAAATAAATTCTACTTAATGTATAATATTAATAAAATACACAATTGCTTAAAGCAAAAATTTGAAAATTAATAGTTATATTATTTGCTAAAAGTAAAGAAAACACGACGAAATGAAATGAGGAAAATAAACATTATAATGCTAGCTGACTGAATGTTCTAAGAAATATACTGACTTCAATCAGAATTACATTTCACCCTAAAATATAGTGAGCTGTTTTAATGAGAAGTTAACACGTCTGTTAGTGACGAAACAATATTAATATTGCCTACGCTATGCCCGCGACTTCGTCTACGCGAAAAGATATTTTTTTATAGTAATAGTAATAAACAAAAAAAAAAATAGTCCAAGTTATATCTTATTATATCAATCTGTGAGCGAAAGTTTCGTTAAACTCGACAAGCTGTTTCAGAGTTAAGCACGAACAGTCAGACAGACAAACAGAAATGGTAATCGAATAGAATCTTCTTCGTGGCAATCTTCCCAGCTTTAGCCAGGGTCTTCCTAATTGAATAGAATATTAAAATATATCTAGAGTGTTCACAACCGTATAGACGTAATGAACAGCGTTTATCTTAATTTTACGAACAGAATTTCCCATATTATAGATTGGTAATGATAAATAAATTTTTTATAGGTTTTAGAACAATCGATTCAAATTAATTGAACATCTTCATGTATGACCACAAGGTACGTTCTACTCGGTTGGCGTATAAAGTACTGTGGAAATTATCCCGTCATGTGAAAAGAACACATTTCACTTTAGTACGCCTACACTATTTTAGTGTTCCCACACATACATATAACACGCTCGTTCTATGTTTACTTGAGACGTTCATTCAAGATTCTCATACAATTAGCTGTTATAAATCATGTACCAGCTTTCAAATATATGTACAAATGAAACTAATATTTTCGGATTACTACGCGTTATTTTATTGTTTTCAAAAACTATCTACTGTCGAGGTTTCGGTTACTTTTCAGCAATCGTGATCATTGGCAGACGATATGTGAAAAATAAAAAAATACGAGTAGTAATCTGAAAATATCCCTTTAAATGAATACTCGCGAAAGTCTTAGAGCTCATTGTATCTTTATAACTTAAAAAAAGTCATACATAGTAGGTTATTCATCTAGAAAAACATTTTTAAGAAATTATTATTACTCACATGAACGAGTGACCAATTTTAATGAATTAGAGCAGAAGTTTTCTTAAAAGAAACTAATGTCACATGTTACATCAAAATACACAGGAACAATGTTAACAAGTATGAAAGGAAGCGATTCCATTTAAGGTATAACATTTAAATAATACGCGAAGGAAATAAGGAAATGTGAATGTAAAGTTGGCGAGTTTTGTTTTTAATACGAACATTTTAACGGTTGAATTGTTATATATTTTTTGCTTTACGATCACACGGCACGGCAAATAACACGTTGAATTTATGTTCGAAAATTTCACGACCGGTATGAGGAAACGTTTGATTGTATACATTACTTTTAGGGAAGTGATGATGTCTTTCCTAACGTTTTTATATACAGTAATTAAACACACACCTTTTTATACAGGGTGACTGGTGAATTACTATCGATATTTGAGGACGTGATATTTGACGATCATATATGACAAAATAAAAATTAATATAACATAAATATTAATAAACTTCTAAGGAAAGTTAACCAAAAGTTATGTAATTAATTACGCATCGTGTGAACACCCTACAGATTAGGTATACACACACACACACACACACCTACGCGAGCGGGGCGTGGTGTTGTATCAGCACGCCGCCACACGCGTCCACACTTGGAACACTTGGAACGTTTACACACTTTATTTTTTTATACGGAAATTTGGTCAAAAATTAAGTACCTATTTTTTTACATAATTCGAATGAGAATCATGTACCGAGTATGCTCCTTAAATATTGATAGTAATTCACCAGTCACCCTGTATAGTGACATAATATTGGAATTATTTTTTAGAGGACATATAAACTATTGGCAGAACAGTTAATGCAGATGTGATATTAAAATAATAATTAAACGCTCGTAAATAGTCCCGCTTGATGTTGTACGTCAATGTCAAACATAACTGTCACGGCGTCACTGTCAGCGGCTCCTTTGTAGGTGATTGCCGATCATCGTGAAATAACGGTCTCCCATTACGGTTGCGTTTGCAAAATAACTCGAATGCCAGCGAAGCAAACATTATTATACGTGTTTGATTAGTTCGTAAATAATTCTATGTACTTCCGTGATTAAAATCACTATACCCTGAAATAATGATAGCGGTAAATGAAAATTCTCATTGCAATGGAATACTAAGATATCAAAAACAAATCATTAAACTTGAAATAACAAAATTGTAGTATAAAATATAAAATTTAAGGTATTGTCTATGCTACAATTCTCTTAAATTAAATTACGTCTTTCAGCTGTATGCAGGTGTTTATTTTTTTTTTGTAAATATCTCGATCATATCCTGCTGTCATCGTGACAGATGCTAGTCGGCGGTATTCGAAAAAGCATTTTGGAGGCAAAAAAAGCCCTATGAATTATTCACTATTATATAAGAGAATTATATATACACATGTCCTATAAAAATGCACAATAATCAGTAGAGTGTCTTAAAAAGTAGATTGTTAAAGTGTTAATAGTTATTTCGTGTAGATATTAGAAATGCATGTATTCCGATACTTACACTTATAATTACTTCGCGTGCGAGGACCTGACGAACTAACACACAATTTTTATATACACGTCTATATTAACGATATTAGTTAAAAACCATAGATTATTAATTTTTTTTTAATATGCCAATCGACAAAGATTTTCTTTCTATATTTGGGCTTAATTAGCAATGAATCGTACTATTTCGGTCACTTGACATTTGACATTTCAAACTAACGTCACGTATTAATGTTAATAAAATATCAATTTAACAACTTATGAGATACTTTATAGTTATTGAGATTAATTTCGCATATTTAATATGTTAGAAGGCCAATATTTTTTTGTATGAGGACGCGCGTGCTTTAATTAATACTAGTTTTTGACTGCGATTTTGTCTATTTCGATTTTCGAAGAAACTATACCGAATGGAGGGACAAATTATAGCCTATGTCTCATTCTGATGTATAAGCTACATTATGATTATTTTCCATTAAAATCACTTTAGTAGTTTTTGTTTGATATAGCAACATACATCTTGACAAACTATCACATCTAATACACTATTAGGATATTAAATTGTTAATATATATTTGTATAAGGTAGATAGTTCCTAGGTATAATGCTACCAGAAATTATTATTGTTACAATTAATTATATTATAACATCTGATTGTTATAATTTATATCATTACCATAGGAGTGTTAATAATACGCGATTTTGAAAGTACATTGAAAGTCTCTATTTTTTTAATACATGTAAACTATCTTACTTTCCGTGTATTCGACAACGCCAGCATCTGTTAATATGGAGGTTTAAGTATCTACTTAGTATGGAGATTTTTATATAATTGAAGAAGACAAATTTCGCTAAAAAAATAATATACTCATTACATTATGCTTAATTGTTAATGATATCAACTGTACGAAATTAACTTAAAATTGTTATCATATAACTACGTTTTAAGTGCCTCCCTGAAGTGTTACGCTTCACCAATTATGTATATCTGTAGTGGAATTAACAACTATAGCACATTGATCATTGAAAGAATATTACATTTAGGCATATTTTTCTAAACAATATGTGATTTGAAATTCATTGAATGTCAGTGGTAGGTGGTGGAGCAAACCGAAATGCGTTCTAAATATACATTCACACGTGCATCTTTATTTCGGATGAAAGATATATAACAGATGGCCCCGGAGTTAGAGATCTTGAGATATCAAACATCGGGTCAGCTGTGGAAAGAACTGTTTACTTGGTTGTATACTGATAGAAGAACGTTACATGGAGATATTGGGAAGTTTAAATAATATGAGTTACTAGATATTAATCATTGGAAAGGAACCAGAAAATATCACGGATACAACGGACTGTAGTCGTACAGGTCACATATAATTGTATTGGTGGGCGAATAGAATATAACGGTCGACTTACACGATCACAAAAATAAGATAGTGTATTGTTTACTTAAACTATTTACCCCCCCATTTTAGGCAGCGGCCATTTTGGATTGTAAATGAATACCGATGAACAATATATCGACTTGTTTCGCTAAATTGTAACAAAAAATTAAGATGTCGTCAATACAAATGATCAAAAAAAATCAATTATATTTTTTCCACGTGAATGTGTATACTGTATGGCATAACGACGTAGGTGTGTAACATCTTTATCGGATCGCCGTCGTGCCGTGGCCCTTAAAAGACATCGATTGAGGCGAACGGGTATCCAGTGTCTAAATAAGGCCTGATTACTTACGACCTGTATGAAAGTTATGCCGCCGCTGAGAAAACTCCGGCTTCATATTGATTGGCCGGACACAGCCTCTTTAATTGTCTACATACTTCTGTTTAGGAGCATTTTATGATACTGATAATAATGTAAGGGGGCTTATGTCGAATGTTTTGAACAGTGTATCGAAATGTTTCAAACTAAATTGGATTTACAATGTACACAAGTTTTTGTGATTTTAATTATGAAACTACATTTAAAATGTAAAGGAATTAGTTAACGAGTAAAATTATTTCTATAGTTTAAAAGACATTAAAGGTTCCTTTCAGTTCAGTCCTTAATCTAGAAGCCTAAGTCTTGGAAACTTCAAACGGAATATTAAACTTACGACATATGAAGATGTGAAAGAATGGTCAATAACTGTATGGACTATGTAGTTGTTCAGAATGATAAATGTCAACAGAGCTCCGCGGACGGACGGTTCATCAGCGTGAGAGTTTTGTTACTCACTGAATGAGTGAATGGAAAGTGAACGAGTCAATATTGAACGAAGGAGATTGTGTGACTTTGAATTAACTCACTGTTAACATGACACATACAGCTCGAATGGTACATAGGTAGAAGGAGTACATACATGTTTTAATGGGACCTACTTGTACGAAAAATATTATTTGGATGTTCGTTACTCCCTTACACAAAATATACTAAACTTATTGCAATGAAACTTCACTTTAAATATAGTTTACGCAACAGAACAGTTATATTTTAAATAAGATCGTGGTTTTCCTTCAAAAATGGCACTAACATTCACGCTGCTTTTTTGACAATACGATTCCTAAATCCACGAACAAAGTCGCAAGCAGAAATTAGTATTTAAAACAAATGTTTGCTCTACATCCAAAAGCTTCGTAGTATCTAAGACAAATGTTTAAGTGTTATCTTATTTAGTTTATATACATAAAGTATATATAGTGTTAGGTGAATTCCAATAGTATATTTATAATAATTCCATGTTTATTATTGTCTGTTACATTAAACAATGGAGCCAGCAGCGTCTGATAACCCCCAGTTTATCTTGAGACATGTCTCTTTACACAACGTTCTGTGAAGTCAGCACTCACATTAGTCACTTGTGATAGAACAGTTTCAATGCACTTCAATATACAATAATAACTTCTTGGGTTTCATATAATTTATTCCGAGTATTTATTTGCAATGAAAATAATATTAATGAAATGATCTAAAACTTTCGCGAGTATTCATTTAAATGAAACTAATATTATTCGGATTACTACGAGATTTTGTTATTTTATAAACTACATACTAACATCTCGTCTGCCCGTAATCACGGTTGCTGCAAAATAATCGAAACGTCGGAAGTATGTAGCTTTTTACAATAATAATATACGCGTAATAATCCGAAAAATAGTAGTTTCATTTACTAATGAAATTTATTTAAAAATTAACCTAGTTTTATTCTAGCACTATAATAATTTCGGTATATACTGAATAAAGTCTTTTTGTTTGTTTTAAACAAATCTTTCGTTTAATATAGTCGTGTTAATATTCTCAAGTGCAGTTTTCTCGCGATAACTCGAGAGTGAGCGCACTTCTATTTATACCAGACCACTCTAATGGCTGCGGAAGGATTTCTCGCCAGTAAGAATTTACACTGTTATTCATTGAAGTTAAAATTTAATATTTTTAGTATAATCCAATTTTATTCATAATCAATATAGCGATAGTATATCGATTATAAACATCGATAAGATCGATATTATCGTTATGAAATCGGTAACTACATAGAATCTGGTCGCAGATGGACGCCCACGATCCACGCCCACGGAACCGTGTGCGGTTTGAGCATGTTTATGAATATTTTATTTAATGAATTCCTCTATGTTTACTGTATTAAATGAAATGAGATGGTTGTTTTATGTTGAATTACATTAACATGGATACAAGGATTCATTCATTGATATCGAAATAATTTAATTAACTAAATGTTTTCATAAGACTAAATAGGTCTCATAGATAGCTTTTATGACGTCTAATTATCTTAATTTAATATTTCACGTTAGCAAATAAAATAGCGATTTTTAAGGTAAAATATTATATGAAGAAATGCACTTAATTTTTTATATAATTATACCGTAATATATTGCGTAAGATTTTTAGTATGAAGTGTTATGCACGAATAATTTGTTTCATACTTTGAAAGGTAACTCTTGAGGGCGATTAAACATTTTTTAATTCCTCTTGATATGGTTAATATATCAAATTATTATGTATATGAGAGTATCGAGATCTTAAATAATGTTAATAAAAAACTACTGAGACGTGATCAGAACTTGAACCTAATAAAAATATCCTAACAAAATGCATTATATACGACATTATTACGTCAAATAGACTTATCTTTCAATCTCCGTTATAATATACACTCACCATCAAATCGCTTGGCTCTGTTGGACAGTATTTGAGCTAGTTTGTTCAGTTCACTCCGGAGCGCGTCTTCAAACTGTGTCCTCGCCTGTGTGACCAGACGAGATCTCGCCCCAGCACCGCAGCATCCTTTGTTGAGACAAAGCTCGCCGGCATCTGAGAAACATAACAAACATTTTAAATTAAATTACATTGAATAAATCAATGAGGTAGTGGTGACCTAGTCTTTAAAGGCCCGCCTCTCGTGCGTGAGGGCGCGAGTTCGAAACCTGGCAAGTACCGATGTGATCTTTCCGAGTCATATGTATTTTTAAGTGTATTTAGACAACACTGAGAGACGGTGAAGGAAAACATCGTGGGGACACCTGGACTTATAATTTCAAATTATAACTGAGTAAGCGTGGTGATTAATACTCAAACCTTCTCCATGTGAGAAGAAGCCTTTCAGTAGTGGGCTCTCATAGTCTATGCTGATGATGATGAAATCAATCTATGTTCTTTACGTATTAATTGAATCAAACAGCGTACATACTGAGGTATATAAATCGATCTGAATTGCTTTATATTTATAGCGTGGTCGTATCCATGGAGGGTGAATGGGGCCGAAATAAGTTTAAACATCCGTCGAGGGTTGCTTATTGCATTACGTTATCTTGGGGATGTGATGAATACATACACAGGAAGAGCCTGGCTGTGGCATCAATATAAATGTACTCCACAAAGACATTATTGGTCCCCGAGGTTGAGTACACTATGAGGTTTGACGAATTTAAGATCAAGAGCTACACATACATACGTAGGTGGAATCTATATAATAAAAAAGTTATTTAAAACACCAGCTTTCACCCCGACTTCGTTCATTTATTATTAATTCATTAATGATCATTCAGGCAAATTTAGTAAATCAACTAGCGGCATATGAAGTTTAATTAAATAAGTGTCCGACTACTTGACTAAAACATTGTATGCAGGCAGATTCTGACCATAACTATTTTTCAATTTCTTATATATAAGTTTAAATGTATAGATTTTATTATGTAACAAGTATAGTAAACGTGTTACAAGTACACGAGAAATGAGGTCTTTCGTTATATTCTAGTATATTTGAGGAACTATTAAATGTAATGGTCTACGTTATGTACACAGCGTATTGTTTTGAAACAATTGCATCATAATCAATATTAATCCTTCCGATATTAGGAAGCTGTGAATCGAGACGTGCTTTCCGTGGTAAGACTTGGATAAACTGGTAACCAAAGATAGTATATAGACGATTCTAGCTCTAGAGCTATGGAGGTAGGGTTTAAAATCATTTGAATGACAAACATGGGGGTCAATCTCAATTAAAACTGTGGTTAAAGGCATAAATGACAGACATTTATGAACTTATTATTTGTCATATAATTTGATAACCCGAAATGACTATAAGATTAATCGAAGACAAGTCCAAATAATAATATTATTGGAAAAAATGCATTAATTTTACATAAAAAATTTGATATATTTATATAACAAACTTATCTATTTTCTGTTTAATAATAATCTATATGAATTACGAACAAAACTTTAAGATGTGTGGTAATTTGAAACAATACTTTTATACATTCCAAGAAACCACAGTGACGTATTTTGTTTCTTGGCATTGAGTTATGACTGGTGATGTTTATATTTTGTCTACACTTTGCTTTTCTTTGGCCACACATACGAGTACTTTAGGCGAATATAATTTTATTATTATTTTCATTGAAATCGCTGTTAGTATTATACTTGGGCCAGCTGTCTTTAATCTGGGGGTGACAAGGGCTTTTGATATTTTAATATATGAATCAGAAGGGACGTGCTTGTGGGGGTATTCGTACGTACTCTATTGGTTTTGCATTTACACTAGAATATTATAAATAAAATCTCATTTTAAAATGTACTCTTATATATTTTAAAAGCGTTTTTTAATGTTATCTTCTTCATTTTTAACACAAGTTTTGGCAAACTTATTACAGAGAGTATTGAGTCTTCATTTACGTACCCATGTTGTTATCATGTGCAAAGTATGTCTAGTTTTGATTCAAACCCATAGTAATTAAAATCTATTTTATTATTAACCTTACAAATATATTCAAGCGTCGCCTTGAGCGTAAGTAAAATCTTTAAAATCTTTATCAGTGGTGTACGGACAGACGATAAACACACACAAATAGAACCGCATTGCATGATTTAGAGTGTTCTTTAATCTCGGCGTGATGTTACTTAAATAAACAATGGAAAGTAAACAACACGCTACTTATAATACATTAACGGACTTTTGAGAATTACTTTGACTTTAATATTCGGCATTGCACCTAAATATATTCAATTAAAACTCAAATAAATTGGAGACAACTCTAGCATTCTCATCAAACAAGATCTAAACTGCAACTTAATCAAGATTAAATTTTATGCTGAGTTAAAAAACAATAACTTGATAAAGAGATTTATGACTTTTTTTGAGAATTAGCCAATGAATAAAATAAATACATATGTACATTTTTCTGTACGATTTAAGACACATTCTTGTATACCTAAAATTCAATCAACGAGACAATTATAACAAATATCTTTTATCACAGCCGTCCCTGCTTTCGACGAAAAAAACAAACAAAACCAAGAATAAAACACATGGCGTCTCAACATTTAGACTGTTGGTTACAAAATAACCACCAAATTATAAACGATTTACTATTGTCTATGCCATAGTCTATTCTCTATGATATAACAAATGTATATATTTCTGTTTGTTCCTCCATTCTTGTCTATATACTAAACATACATGCACTGTCCCCGAGCCCCTCCCGGCTAGACATCTCATATAATTGCAGTGTTGCAGAACCCCATCTGCTTTGATTGTATTCTTTGCAAGGGAAACCAACGCCTGGAGGCACTACTATACAACGTTGAAATTATAACTAAAATTTATATTAGAACATGCGAAAATACTCATTCAAAGAGAATCAGCTTAGTGCGAAACGAAGTGTACTTGTGGGTTAAAAGAATATTTCAGGCGTGGCTATGAGAGCCAATAATTTCATTTCCCTCATCCTAAACCCATGACCCTCGGTTCAAATTTTAAAACACCCCCATTCTCGAAGGTGTCGATTCTGACTTATGTAAATTAACGAGCACTTTGAAGTTATATTTATTACTTCATCGAAGGGTAAATCATTTTTTCATAATACTTCCGTGCCATTTAAAAGTTACTTCCAGACACGATCAATCCATTTGAAGCTGAGCTTTCTAATGTAACCCACATCTGGCTGGTTTCTTGTTATTACTGAAACCATATTTGTATGAAATATAGCATTTAGTTTATATACTAAGAATAACTTGTATCAAAACTAATTCCAGTGGACCTCTGTTAAGATGGACGTACAAATGATAATGACGGACCCTAAGGAACAATGGAACCGCGCCGTTATGCCGTGATACAATGACAACAGCAGATATTTGAGAAAATTAATAGTTGACGAACAGACCACCGGCGTTGGTATACAATACTCAATAGTATGAGACTATCACAGTAACACGATATTGAGATTATTCTCTAGAACCTTCTATCTTATATATAAATATAGTTGAATAAAATAAAATATATTTTCGGTTTAAATAGCCTTTATATTGTTTAAAGTTTATATTTTTAACGCGATATTTCAATACTTTTTTGGGAACCATGTTAAAAAAAAAACATATAGTTCTGATTAGAAATAAATAAGTAAAACATTTAATAAAATAAAAGAACGCAAACCTAGGTATAATTGAGGTAAGAAATTACAATATATTTTTTGAAATAATAATCCGAAAACAAAACCAAAATATGTTCATAACGAAACCACCATAATCGAGCATAGAATAACTAATTCATCTCTGAAATTAGCCTTAACCATAATAAACTCTTTGGAATAAACCATAGATTAAATAGAGCATGCGGTAGTAACCTTTTTGGGAGGGACCATAGAGTAATAGAGTAATAATTACGTGGGCCACCCGCGACCCCACACAGTATATGACGGACAATGAAGTCATCAATAAGACTTACAGGATTATACACACTTAAAACTTACGATACTCAACTAATGTCACCTAGAACTATTATTCATATATTTAAAAATACATTTGACGATACCATGGATATGAAATTAAATAAAGATTAGATATATATAATATGTTGTTAAATTATATGTGTTTGGGAACCACGAAGATTCACTAATTAAATGACCATAAAAAAACTTCGTCCCATTCAACTAAACGAACACTTATAAGTAAGCTATAAACAAAAATAGCACATCCAATTCTAGTCCTTATTGCAATAATTAAAGAAGTGAATATTGTATAACGTTATGTTGCATAATTGTGCGGAACGAGCGAAACTCACTCGGTCACAGACGGACGATTCTTCCGAGCGGAAGTTTTTAATATTATACTGGCCGTTAATTAATATGCAATATGCACACTATACAGCCGATATAAAAAAAATAACCAAGGAGGTTCACAATATACAGGGTGACTGGTGAATTACTATCAATATTTAAGGAGCATACTCGGTACATGATTCTCATTCGAATTATGTAAAAAATATAGGTACTTAATTTTTGACCAAATTTCCGTATAAATAAATAAAGTGTGTACACGTTCCAAGTGTTCCAAGTGTGGACGCGTGCGGCGGCGTGCTGATACAACACTACGCCGCCGCGCGCGTATGTGTGTGTGTGTGTATACCTAATCTGTAGGGTGTTCATACGATGCGTAATTAATTACATAACTTTTGGTTAACTTTACTTAGAAGTTTATTATTATTTATGTTATATTAATTTTTATTTTGTCATATATGATGATCGTCAAATATCACGTCCTCAAGTATCGATAGTAATTCACCAGTCACCCTGTATAGAACCTCACGAATAAAAAAGTGATGAAACGAGTTAGGTAAGTTAAAATGTCACGATATCCTCGTTATCTGCCCTTAACCCGCATTTCACACGACTGTTTATACAAAGCTCCCGACAACTGATGAAGTGGCTAATATCCGGGGAGATAGGACCATCACACTTCACTTTACAAGACAGTGACTTATACTGAGAATTATTAAAATTTACTCTTTATTAAAATCAGCATAAGGTGTGTTAACACCTTTTACGCTGAATGGTATACCTTTTTGGGACACGCGTTATGTATTTTAATGTTTATTTTTTTTGCTTTGATTTTTTTTTTATCGTAGTTTTATTTTTTTTTTTCTCATGTTTTGGTCTAAATTAGTCATAAGTTTTATAGTAAATTAGTCATAAGTTTTATACGTGTCTCAAATAAAAACTTTCTTTCTTTCTTTCTTATTTATATTAATTTTTATCATTAATTAGTTATGAATTTATATTTTAAAGCAATTCTTTTTCGGTTACATGAACATCTCAATCATAATTTATCATTGATCATACGGGGAACTCAATTGGGGAACATCAAATTAATGCGTTCAATAGCTTTTGATTATGACTATTGAATTGAGTATAACATATCGTCGGGTGTCCAAATTGTTTTTTACAATCTTTTGTTTGATCACAACAAAAATATTAACAACTATATACAGGTTCTAAAAGCTGAAATCTTTTACCTAACACATGTAAGGTACCATTTTCTGAACACACGACTGAACCCTTTTCATCAAGTATACCGAGGTGTTAGTCATAATATAAAAATCCTTTTATTTTATTAAACCTGATACAAGATCAGGGATAAATATAGGATGACGCAGCCGTGGACTCCACTTTAATTAGCCGCGCCGAAATAAAGGTTCGCAGCAACAGAGATTGATCGTTCTTGGACCAAAAAGGCTTTAATTAAGGTATAACGGATCGAATACAGTTAGCTTATAAAAGATAAACACTTCAGATGATAATATAATAGTATACTAATGATACGCTTCAGACGTACAAGTTACAACATGAAATCTTTCTCACCACCGACATGCAGAAACTTAATTCTGAAAATCGATCCCGAATTCGGACGATTCGGATTTTTGTTGCATGTTTTGGGACACAAAAAAATATTAATTGGTACAAAATCTTAGTTCACTGGCATGCTTCGGATGTCGAGCGTAAATGTTAATGTAATTTATGTGGGCCTTAATCGAAAAACATGATGGAAACAATAGCGAGCCATAACACGCGTACAGTAAGGAGAAGCGGGCGGGATGCCGAGCAATCAAATAAGTGCACATCCAAGAGACGCCCTTTATGGAGAAGACTGCACTTTAGACTTGCGATATCCAAAAACGACTCGAGACATTCCTTTGTTACATTTAACAGGAACACGTATTACTGTTGATGCCTCAATTTTTACCAAATACTTCGTTATTCAGCCGTGTGGTGCGCGTAAGTTATCACATATAGAGATCTCTGACTATCTAACATCGCCCCCAAATATCTCCACGTGTGAAATGTGACATTAGACACATCGACCCATGAATCTGGCAAGCATCTCACGTAATACACAAATTCAAGGCACAGACACCGGCCTTATACCGCCGCGCAACTATAGCCCTTACTGGTTAGGTTTTATGTGTGATAATCCTTCGTATTTCCACCAAACTTCAGCCCCATTCGGACCGCCCTACCCTGTTATTGTTTGAAGCAGACTTTATTGTTATGCAGAGTCAGCTACATTCCGGGACATTCAATTTAACTACCATTCTTTGGTCATAAGCACCTAGTTTTTTAATATTTTCGGTACATTTAGATTAACATGTATTTTAACTCAAGCATATACGTTATGTAATTTATTGAACAGATTTATATCCATAGTAATATTTGTGGTACAAAATTCAATTAAATATTATTGCTGGTAGTCAACACGTCCAGTTGTTTATTGTTCCAAATTAATATAGCCTCGGAATGAGATCAATTGGTTACTATCAGTGACACTAGTGATTTATGACGGCTCTTTGCACTCACTATCCGACGTACTAACTATCGCGTACACAACCACACAATGGCCCAAATTGGACGTATTATTAACTTAAATATACAAAAAATTGTATAATTCTAGTATAATAATACTTTTCTCTGTCAAGTTACAGTATACAAGACCTATTTACAAAGTAGTTTTTTAATCACACTAAAAGCTTTTAGCGTCCGTTTGCTAACGACGAGCTGTTTGTATCATTTCAACAATAATTGTGTGAATATATTGACATAATAATGGCTAGTGTTTTACGTGTTTTAGAGAATTAATTGCTTAATTTGTATATTAATGTTTACTTTGCATTTAGTGGATATTATTCGCGAGTTTGTAGGACGTTCAACTCAAGAGTTAATAATCAGTATTCTTACCACAAGTTCGTATTGTCACACATACGGAGCATTTAGAGTATTTCACTTATAAATGACACATGACAGTATTAATCTAGGTCGTTGTATGAGAAACGGGAAACGCATAGTCTGTAGTATCAAAATCAAGACTCATAGTAAGCATGCTGTATCTAACGTTACGTAAATTTCAAGCATTTGTCTGTGAAGCTGCGTTCAAAGCGGTGTCGAAGATGAAAGGGAGCTACTTATTATTGGAATTTCTATTAGCTATTGTTCTGAAATCACTCACAACGGACACTACGGCATACATACACGGACTGCACTTGCTGTATACGATAGGTAAAGTCAGAGGAATATACAAGTACTTTAAAAGACTCATCTTCTTTTAAAATAACCAAAACAACTATGTACTTTCACATAATAAAAGAATAACAGTTTCTTTACGTTATTTAATTTGAAATTAGAACCCAATTAGATAGTGACGTCATCAAATTTGAAATTGGAACTCAAAAACTTGATCAAGACATCGATCTTTTTAATGGTAAAGTTTAAAATGCTTCAGATAATTATAATATGCAAGTATGCAAAA